ATTATTATTATTATTATTATTATTAAAAGTTGCATCGCTTTGGATTATCTGATGGTCTAGTACAAATTATTTGTAGTTATCTGACAGGTCGTGTGAATTATATAGAATATCAGGGCATCAAATATCGGTTATTTCAAAGCAAAAGTGGTGTTCCTCAGGGTTCAGTACTTGGTCCGTTGCTGTTCCTACTTTTTATTGATGATATTATGAAATGCTTCCTATCAGAATACTTAGTCTACGCAGATGATTCAAAGTTATATCATGTCATAAAAATTAAAAACTATCTCAGACAGTGAGACATTGCAGGGGCGGTCGGGCTCACATGACGCTGTCGGCTTGACCCCATACCCGGGACCCAACCACGAGTTTGCGACCGTAAGGGCCTGCTCGCCTAGCCACGTTTCTTCTTGATTGAGGGGTGCTGGGCGGCAGTGCTTGCGATAAAATAGAATCACCGTCGTGGCTAGGAGAACAGCCACGACCAGGAGCCCCAAACTCCGCTCATGCTACAACGCCCCTTATGAGTAATTTTGCTGTGTTCTAGAATGAAATTGATATAATTTTTGCTGTTTGTATTAAGTTGGTCAACAAAACTCAAAGCATTTCTATTTTGTTTTATCTTAGGAATACTGTTATCGTTTCTTGGATCCTTCGCCGTTTTTTTAAGCAGAGGCCTATCAGTCTTCGCCGTATTCTACACCCTGGGAAATATACTATCCATGGCTAGCACATGTTTCCTCATGGGACCTTTTAATCAAATCAAAAAAATGTTTGCCTCAACGAGAGCAATAGCCACAATTCTTGTCTTTGCGTCGTTTATCTTAACGTTGTTGGCCGCTCTTGTGGTAAGTCTGTCATTATTTTTGTGTGCGTGGTTTAATTTGATTCGTTTTCAGCTACATAATGCTATCTTAGCTTTAGTATTTATTATAATTCAGTCATTGGCGATGACAGGCTATTCGTTGTCGGACATACCATATGCCGGAGATGCCATGAAGAAGACTTTTGTCGCGTGTGTAGGGTAAACATGAGGATATCAAAATATGTGTTTCAGTACTTACGTGCATATTTAATGTTGTAATCTATGTCAATTTTAAACCCCCTCCACTGATGATGTATTTATTTTGATACTCTTTACAGATGTATTTGGACTTTATTGCTAATATATTTAATGTTATAATTGATAAATAAGTGGAAGTAATACCGTCATGTTTATTAAAAAAATGCGATTTAGCAATATTTAATGGTCAAAATAATTAAAAAGTATTACCAGTTGACCGTCGGGTCAGGATTCAACAAATAATCGTTGCAAAAATTCTTTGATAAATCGTAAGTACCGAAAAATACGTAAGCACCGATTGTTGTTAACATCACTCTTGGTGTAAACCCTGCAAAAAGACTGGAAAAAAAGTGCTGCAAATGTTACAAATAATGATAACACTCATTACCCTTTAAATCCTTTTTCGTAATAAATTTGTTTCAACACAGTCTTGATTGTGTCCGTCGCGAATTTTTTATCAGCCAACATAACTCGGGTTTTAGCGACATCTAAAGGAGTCGTTGCCATAGCAGCGAAAGCTGCAGCCACGGCACCACAGTTTGCTACATCCCATGAATCTAGAGGAACGTCATTTTTAAAACTGACCCTGTATACTTTTTTTAAATATTCCAAAACGGGAAACTGTATTAAAGAAAATGGAATTTCTTGGATTAACATTGAACCATATCCTCTATACAAGCCCTACAATCCTTTTATTACTTTTTGATAACCAATTGAATTCAAAATCGACTTTTATTAGTCCTTCGGATTTAACAGCATGCATGAAAATTCTCATAGAGGTGTGTTTTATATTTGTAGAAGTTTGTCTGCGCTGCTTTACCACCTCCACTGGGGCTCCAATTAAACAGGATACCTATAATTCGAGCTCGTTTATTTAAAAAATTTAAAAACAAAATATTCTACTATGGATTACGTGCAATGTTTCGTTATTTTGTAAAAAATAAGGTAATAACACATACGATTTCACCAGCTGTGGCTGCAGTCATGTAAACTAATGGTAAAACATCAGAGTCCACCCTTGGTTCAACGTAATATTTAAAACTTTCATACGTCAAAAAAAATAAGGCCGCTTCTGGAGCACTTCCTATGGTTTGAGGTCCAATGCCTTTATAAACATGTTTGAAACCTCCGGTTTTAAAAAAGCCTCGTGCGGACTGAAGACGTGTTGTTAAAGTATCTAGAGGAAAAAGGGTTGAATCAACAGCGAGGGCGGCGGCTGCTCCAGCCTGTGCATAAAATTTTGAATAGTTGGCGTATAGTTGGTTGCCTACTTTACTTACAAATAATGCCGATAAATACACATTTTTTTGATCTTCTGACATTGTGTCACTATTGTCTAAATTTAGATGTACGAAATTACACATAGGACTCGGTTGGTTGCACCTCACTAATGCATAGTGCACTACGACAATTACCCAACCAGTGTTGCCAAGTTGCTACGCAATGGACTGGATCGGAACTTTTCGGTACATATCGCGGATTTAAATTTTGCGTCAATCTTTTAATTTTAATTCAAAATTGGTTTTAAAAAAGTCCACTGTACTCTGATCCAAACTATTTCGGTGTACAAAATAGTGGACCACCATACAAATATTCAAAACAGAAAAATTACTTACTATTTCGTAGAACCATTTCAAAATGATTGTATTTCATGTAAAGAAGTGGGTTTCACGTTTCCGTCTATCTGTCTGTTGGGGAGTTTATGGAACACTGTGGAATCTTGGCCCTGTAGATGGTTAAATTCTAACTAAATTTGTTTGTCTATCTCAATGATCAATTAAATCACGACATCTCAAAATTTAGCTCTTGGGAAAAAATTCTAATTTTCACAAAAATATTTGAAAATTTGTCTCAGAAAATATAAAACTGACTGCTCCGAAGTCTACCAGACGTTTAAAGATCGTGGTAAACATTGTGTAAATCGTTACAAAAAATTTATTTGGTTGGTTTCAACTCAAAATTTTTTGGAATCGATACACATGACGGACGCACAGACAGACAGGTTATAAACACGTGTAATTTTAATATAATCTATTTTAAATTAACGGTATATCTAAAGTTTTTGAATGATTATACCTTAAGTTATTGTAGTATTCACATTTCATAACTCCTCGTTCGAGATTTAAAATAGTTCATTTATGGAATTTATTAAACCCATCCTTGATCCGTTTTGAACCAAAGGATCTTGAAAATTTTCATCAGTTAAATTAATATATTATCATGGACTAGAAATGGGAGGTGCATTTTGTGTTTGTATTATGTATATTTTGATTGTGATCGTATTTAATGTACGCCTTGTTGTGTTCATTATGCTTTGTTTTATTTGATGCAATCTTGATGATTTTAATTTAATCATTAACTTGAATTCATGCGTAATTTAACTTCATGTAAATCCTTGTTCTTCAAAATGGCTGATAGAGCGTGGCATAATTTAATTTATTGGTTGTTTTATTTCTTGTAATTATAATACTCAATTTGCTACTAAAACTAAAAGTTTTTTTCTCCCTCCGTATTCAAGTGAATCTTTATCTGCAATACCGATTTTTAAACCTTCTGAACGAGGTTGTCTAGTTGGCTGTGTCCTTTGCGGGGATGGAAGTAAGCCTCCAGAATGAGGATATTTAAAGAAATCCGAATTTCTGAGGAAACCAATTAAAACCCATTGTGACATAGTCTTCCATACAAGTATTTCTTGTCAAAATGCGTAAAATTGAGACTCGGGGGTCCACCGGGACTACTACTACTATTATTATTTTCAATTTTGCTGGCGACATTGGCGTTTTAAAAAAAATACGTTGTTTTTTGAATTTTGATGACGCTACTCAGAAAAACAAAGCCATTTAAAAAATTGTGGAAGCTTATTTTGACAGAATTTCCCTCGCCTTAGACGTATTGTCCGACAAATTACGCTTCTTTAAAAAATCACTCCATACAATTAGATTTGGGGATTTTCGTTTTATGATAACTGTTAACCTCTATAAAGTGCTATAATTAACGTCCTCGCAACTCCTGCATTTTTAAATATGAAATATACTTAAATCAGATAATTGACGGGAAAAATATAGACATTTTCCATTTCTCAGTATATGCTTAATTTTGACTGTGTTTATATTTCGACCGAATTCGAATTAGCACGTACAGATTACAAGCATCCGCGGTTAAAAGAAAATGAATTTTAGTTGCTTTTGTGTCCTCAACGCAAAGGAAAGGACATAAAACAATCTTAAAATATCTTCATGATTTCAGTATTTAGCCGTTTTAAAGTTGAATTATAACATACAATTTTTGATTTTTTTCAAAAAATCTTGATGTGTACGGGAAAAACTCAACGCGGATTTTAAATTACCCACACATATGGAGTATGTAATTCTATAGAATTTAAGGAAAACTTGTTCTGCAAAATTATAAAATGACGTCATCATTGCGATAGAATAGAATCACAGTCGTGGGTAGGAGAACAGCCACGACCAGGAGCCCCAAACTCCGCTCGTGCTACAACGCCCCTTATGAGTAATTTTGCTGTGTTCTAGAATGAAACTGACATAATTCATCGCCACACTCTTATAGCGCTCTGGTGCCGCTGCATAGTTTTTTTTATTAAAATGTTCTTTTGTTGACTGCCATAATGTTAAATTTGCCGCCACACGTCCGTAATAACCTTTGTATTTGCACACAGTTACTTTAATTCAGATTTTTCTTTGTTTTAATTAAATTTGTGATATTCAAATATTTGCATTGATTCAGAACGTTTAATTTGATTTCATTCAAAGTTTGGAAAGTTTTTTTTTTGTAGCTGAGCACGAAGAAGGTCTTCAACCTGCGCAATTTAATCGCAGTTTTTTTTTCGTAATCACGTATAAAATTTGACAACTGGTTCAGTAGTTTCGAAGATTATGCTATTTTTCGCATCCAGGGTTCAGTTTCTAGGAATAAAACGGTATTTACGTTTAGCGTGCGCTACGCGTACAGCATATTTTTATATTTTGCACTTTTACTTAAACCTGTGAAATCCAACTCAACAGATATGTATGTAATTATATATTTAAACTTTATTGCTATTATATTTTCCTGGACTAATATGGCCATGCACATATCTATAAAAAAACTGAGTATAACAGTTACTAGTGAAAAGAGTAAACAAAAATGTCACGTAGTGGTGACCAAATCCGAGTTTAACAAACAATCATTACAAAAGTTCTTTGATAAATCGTATGTTCCAAAAAATATATAGCCGCCAATTGTTATCCACAAAACTCTGGGTGTAAATCCAGCAAAAAGACTGAAATAAATTAAGTATTACCACAACTTTATAAATATCAAAAACCAACATCATTACCCTTTAAATCCTTTCTCATGATAAACTTGCTTCAACACAGTCCTGACTCTCATATTAATCGCAGTTTTTTTATCAGCTAGCATAATTCGAGTTTTGGCAACATCTAAAGGAGTGGTTACAGCGGCGGCAAACCCTCCAGCCACCGCACCACAGTTTGCCACTTCCCACGATTCTAAAGGAATGTTATTTTTAAAATTCACTCTATACACGGTTTTTAAATACTCCAAAACCGGAAATTGTATAAAAGAAAATGGAATTTCTCGGAATATAGTCGAACCAAACCCCCTATATAAACCCTGCAACATCGACTTTAGTATATCACCACAATTTACGTGACAAAGCATACTTTTATCACACCTTCTGATCTAATAGCGTGCATCAAAATTTTTCTGGAAGTGTGCTTTTTATTCGTGGAGGTTTGTCTTCTTTGCTTTACCACCTCCATAGGAACTCTAATCAAGCAGGCCACCTGCACAAAGTTTAATTTTGTTTTGTGACGTCATATTTACATCATACAAAATCACCACTTACGACTTCGCCAGCTGATGCTGCAGTCATGTGAACTAGTGGCAAAGCATAAGATTCGACCCTCGGTTCTACATAATACTTAAAAGTATCATACGTGAGAAAGAAAAGGGCTGCTTGTGGGGCACTCCCTATCACTTGAGGTCCTATGCCCTTATAAACACCTCTAAAACCCCCCGCTTTCAGAAATCCTTGCGAAGATTGAAGACGTGTTTTTAATGTGTCCAGAGGAAAAAGAGCCATATCGACAGCCAGGCCTGCACCTGCACCACCCTGTATATAATTTTCGAAATGTCATTGTGTACAGTTGGTTGCCTACTCTACTTACAAATAAAGAGGACACGTAAACATGTTTTTCAGCTTTTTCTAACATTTTTTAATGTCGTGAAAGTATCAGCGTTTTATTTTTAAAATATTCACTGACTCACTAAACGCAGGAAGCCGGTTTTGCAAAGTACGCACTACGCAAACGTTTTAATTATGCACATTATTTAATATTTAATCAAATGCTTTTTACGTTTTAAATTTCGTAATACATGCGGCAGCGATAACATTTTAATTTATACTTTTTATTTCCGAAATGTTGCTTTACAAGGTTATATAACCTCACTGTATTTCACAACATAACCTAAAAATGCTGCTGACATGACAAGATAACAAAACTACAAAAATCAAAATGGGAAGAAATATCCTCAAAAGTAGCGTCCAAAACGCTTCCTTTAGTATAATATTTCAAGTAAATCAATGAGTTTTTATAACCATGATTATTAAGAAACCTTTCGTTTTAGATACTTTTTCGATGCATTACTTTTGTACTTAATGCATTTATTATTCGAACTGTAGGCCAGGAAGTTTTAGGAATAATGAATGTAAGACTTCTGCTCCTGGAGTCAACCATCCTATTTCTCTCCAAGGAGCCCATAATGAAAGCTTGTTTGACGGACACAAAGTCGCACAATTGGGCACAAGTGATTAATCAAATTTGGCTTTCGTAAGTGATTTTGACAAGTCAAATGATAATAGAATGAACTATTGTAGGGTCCCCATGACTGCGATTTTAAGTCTAGGGTTGGTCTACACATGGATCAATATTTTAAGTCCCACTGATGAAATTTATGCCACCCAGTATAGATTAGGTTGTTATGCTATTGCTCTTTCATGCATAGTAGAGCAAATGACTCAAAGTGTAGTCCTCGTTGCCCAAAGTTTCCTATTTGTTAAACTCAAAGTTGTTATTGAGACAATTTACATAGTGAGCCGTACCATAATTTTCGTCTACTTAGTGATTGGAAGCCCCAATCAAGCTATCAATGCGTTTTCGTGCGCGCAAGTGGCATCAGCAATAATTTTATGTTTGCTGTATTACGGTTACTTTATATGGTACATTTATCGTTTAAATAATATTAAATCAGGGACTAGCGTTAGTACAAAAAATTTTTCTGACATGGACGACTTTCCCTTCACTTCAATCACAGAATTCTTCCCTGGAATGATGGAAAATTATGAGCGTTTTTTGAATAGAGATTTGTGCGTTTTGACAATCAGTTTTGCCAAACAGTCCATTATTAAGCAAGTTTTGACTGAGGGAGAGCGTTATGTGATGACGGTGTCTCCGGTTATGAGTTTCAGTCAACAATCCATGTATGACATTGTGAATAATTTGGGGAGTTTAGCGGCTAGATTTATTTTTCGACCGATCGAAGAAAGCGCCTATTTTTATTTTACACAAATGATAAAAAGGGATGAAGCTGTGGCCAAACAAAATCAAGTAATATGAGTGTCTGTATTGATTTATTTTAAATATTTTTTTGTAGAGATATATCTCAGAATCAGCGACTGTTTTAAGCCAACTTTGTAATATTGTAACTAGTATAGGTTTGATTGTTGTTACTTTCGGGCAAAGCTACAGTTACACGTTGTTGTATCTTTATGGGGGCGACAAACTAGTGGAAACTCATCTTCCAGTTACATTGTTGAGGTTCCACAGTTTCGCCGTAGTATTATTAGCTATAAATGGAGTAACTGAAGGTTATGTTTTTGCAACTATGAATAATAAGCAACTAGATAGGTAAATATATCGGTATATTGTGGCCTGGATTAATATTATTTTTCAGGTACAACTATATAATGGTGATATTCTCTGTGAGTTTTCTAGTCATATCATTCGTCCTTACAAATATACTAGGCCCAGTGGGTTTTATTTTGGCCAATTGTGTCAACATGTTGGCACGAATTATCCATAGTCTTATCTACATTTATAAAAAATATCAGGGAACTACTTACAAACCCTTATCTGGGTTAATTCCTAGTCAAAAATTCCTCTTGGTCCTGCTCATATCCGGCGTCATCACTAAAACATCAGAAGTTATTGTTACATCTATACCTCTTCACATTCTTATTGGAGGGGTTTGTTTCATATCTACATTAGCGGTATGGGCAATTGAGAATAAATCTATATTGAGGTTAGGATATGATAAGTATAAACGACGAATGTCAACAAAAACTGATTAACTTTACACAATAAATGTTATTCTATAATCAACTACTTCTGTTCTTGTAAATTGCTCCAGTGATTGTTCCCGCCCTTTGAATAATGCAAGTTTTGTTATCAGTCTCGAGGGTCACTATTGGGGCGCTACTGTGGGGTTCTAGTTTGGCTGCTTGTTCAGCTATTGCGGCTATAAGCCCGGCACTTTCTGTGGAAGCTTTCCCCTTAGCGCCTAAACATAGTCCTTGGTGATTGACAAACACACAACCGAAGACTCCTGGTTTGTTCACCCTATTAAATATTTGTCAGGGAAGTTTCAAGGAAAGGGCTGTACTTACACTTCGTCCATTACGCGGTCTAAATGTTTTTCCATTTTATTGCTTATTTTTAATTTTCACTGTAGAGGAATTTGACAGCTGACGTGAAAAACAATCACTGTTGCCACAACCAGAGATAATAAATCACCAAATCCGTGTCGCTGTGTAGCTAAAGAATCAAACACGATTAAAAGAATCGTTAGCAGAACACAATATTCATTTAAAACAAAACTGAGATAACATATAAAAGATCGTTTGATTTAACTTTTTCATTCATAGTAATCGCAAATTTAATAATCCTGTCATTTGTCAGATTGTGTTGCCAACCTTATCACATGCAAATTTGAAATTTGCACCACGGCACCAAAAACAAAAGTTGTGCAGTTACATTTTGCTTTTTTTCTTAATACGTGTAGTCATCTTTTCACAATAAGAAACTCAAAAAAAATGTTTAAAATGTTTTTCTAAGAAAATATGAATTTTGCAATTAGGCTCGCCCCTAGGTCTGCCAACAAATTAAAACTTCATTACTATTTAGATCAGAGCAGGTATGGGTGGGGCTTAATTTTTAGTTTTAGAAATTCCCTAGGAGAGCTACCAACTACCAGAAAAGAACTAAACTTGCACATGGTTGCCTATCTTTGACGATTTTCTAAGGGCCGGTTGCATAAACGCAAATCAAATTTAATCTCTGATTAAGAACAGTTGTAACTATGATAACAACAATCGTTACTATGGAGTTAATCAGCGATTAAATTTGATTTGCGTTTATGCAACCGGCGCTTAGTTTCTTTTTTTTTTTAAATTCAAATTATTTAAACGCAATTTCGCGCCGTTGTTTTTTTAGCGTGAAATTTTAATTCAAATTTGGTCACCACAATAGTAGTTTTGATGTTCAATTTTTGCCGTATTTAATGGGGTTGTAGGCGAAAAGTGGATGACTTAAGTTGATTACTACAAACATTTACCATTTTAAATATGTTTTAAGTTTCTCTAATTGCAAAATACATATTTCTTTACAAAAATTTACCATTTTAAACGTGTTTCAAATTTGTAAGAATAAAAAAATCATTACAATTGAGATGGGGTGGGTGGGCGGGGTTAATGTTTGCCTTTTTTTCGTAATATACATAGTATTCTTTGATCAAACGATACTCAAAAACATGTTTTAATTGCTTGTAAAGAAATAAGTATTTTGCAGTTAAGCGCTGCCCCCTTGGTTCACGGCGAATAAAATAAGATCATCACAATTGAGATAAGGCGGGTGGGCGGGCTTACATTTTGCCTTTTTGTTTTAATATGTGTAGACTTCTTTTCACAACATTAAACTTAAAACATGTTTAAAATTAGGCTCCGCCCCATAATTACAAAATCCATATTTCCTTGCAAAAATGTACCATTTTAACCATGTTCTAAGTTTCTTGTTGTGAAAAGATGGCAATGTATATTAAGAAAAAAAAGACAAAATATAAGCCCCGCCCACCCGCCCTATCTCAATTCTGATGATTTTTTTTATTCGTCGTAAGCCGAGGGGGAGCTTTCCAGTTTCACACTGACAAGTAATTGTCCAATGAAATGTTAAATATGCCAACACCATTATTTTAAACATAAATTTCATGCTCTTCTTGACAACTTTTTTTTCTATGATATTGGCTTAATAGCGACTAGAATTTCAGGAAAATAAGGTCAGGCTTTTTAATTTTAATCAATGAAATAAATTGCTTCATATTTTTTTTTTATTTACTCCGTATAAATAATTCTAGAAAAACAGGAACGAATAGGGAAACTACATGAATACAGAAACATGGTTTCCTGAGAATTTCAAATAGGATTGTTTTTATAAAATTTTGGGGTGACGTCAGCAAGTTTTTGAGAAAGACAAATAAACTACTACAGTCTAATACTACATCGTTTAATAAAAAAAAGTCGTCTTTGAAACTTAATTTAAAAAAAATAATGTTGGCAACACCGACGAGTTCCAGTTTTACACACAGACAAGTCACTGTCAAATAAAGTGTCAAATAGCTGCAATGCCAACACCATTATTTTAAAAATACATTTCAACAAAGATTAAGTCTTGATTTAAATAGTAATGATATAAGAAAAGTCATCACAATTGAGATGGGGTGGGTGGGCGGGGTTCATATTTTGCCTTTCTTTCTTAATATCCGTAGTATTCCTTGAACAACACGATACTCAAAAACATGTTTTTATTTCTTGTAAAGAAATAAGTATTTTGCAGTCAAGCTACGCCCCTTGGTTCACGGCGAATTAAAAAATCATCACAACTGAGAAAGAGTGGGTGGGTGGGCGGGCTTACAATTTGCCTTTTTGTTTTAATATGTGTAGACTTCTTCTCACAACATGAAATTTAAAACAACATGTTTAAAATGGAAAATGTGTATAAGGAAATATCGATTTTGCGATTAGGCTCCGCCCCATAATTGCAAAATCCATATTTCCTCCATATCCATATTGAGGACCCGGTGTGTGAGGTGGCTTGGCATCTGCCCACTACACCTTGGGTCGTGGGTTCGATTCCCGCTCTGTCTCTGGGTGTTTTTGTATGTCCCCTTTTCCTGTAATTGGGCCTCTTGGCCTGTTGGAAAAGTAATTATTAAAAAAAATTTCCTTGCAAAAGTGTATCATGTTCTGAGTTTCTTGTTGTCAAAAAATGACTAAATATATTAAGAAAAAAACGGCAAAATATAAGCCCCGCCCACCCGCCCCATCTCAATTCTGATGATTTTTTTTATTCATCGTAAACCAAGGGGGTGGAACTTAACTTCAAAATACTTATTTCTTTACAGGAAATTAAAAACATGTTTTTGAGTACCGTCTCAATTGTGAAGATTTTTCTTACTCTCAAAAACTTAAAACACGTTTAAAATGGTAAATTTTGTAAGGAAATACGAATTTTGCAATTAGGCTCCGCTCCTAGGTCTGCTAACAAATTAAAACTTCATTACATCTTCATTACTATTTAGATCAGGGCAGGTATGGGTGGGGGCGTGGCTTAATCTTTGGCTTTAGAAATTCCCTAGGAGAGCTACCAACCACCAGAAAAGAACTAAACTTGCACATGGTTGCCTATGTTTAACTATTTTCTTAATTATTATTTTTTAATTCAAATTATTCAAATGCGATTTCGCACCGTTGTTTTTTTAGCGTGAAATTTTAATTCAAATTTGGTCACTACAATAGTAGTTTTGATGTTCAACTTTTGCCGTATTTAATGGGGTTGTAGACGAAAAGTGGAGGATTTAAATTGATTACTACAAACATTTACCATTTTAAACATGTTTTAAGTTTCTTGTTGTCGAAATCATGTGTATTAAGAAAAAAAAAAAAAAGGCGAAATATAAGCCCCGCCCACCCGCCCTATTGTGTTATCTCAATTGTGATAATTTTTTTTTTAATCGTCAAGAGCCAAAGGAGCGAAATTTAATTGCAAAATCCTTATTATTTTTACAATGGAAGACATGTTTTCGAATATTGTGTTATTCAAAGAATGCTGTGTATATTAAGAAAAAATTAAAGTCAAAGATTAAGCCTAAGTTGGCAGACTATAGGGGCGGAGCCTAATTGCAAAATCCATATTTCCTTACAAAAATTCACCATTTTAAACGTCTTTCAAGTTTCTAAAAATAAAAAAAAATCAATACAATTGAAATGGGGTGGGGTTAATATTTTGCCTTTTTTTCGTAATACACATAGTATTCTTGGAACAAACGATACATGTTTTTAATAGCTTGTAAGAAGTAAGTATTTTGCAGTTAAGCTCCGTCCCCTTGGTTCCCGGCGAATAAACTAAGATCATCACAATTGAGATAGGCCGGGTGGGCGGGCTTATATTTTGCCTTTTTGTTCTAATATGTGTAGACTTCTTTCCACAACATTAAGCTTAAAACATGTTTAAAATTAGGCTCCGCCCCATAATTGCAAAATCCATATTTCCTTGCAAACATATACCATTTTAACCATGTTCTAAGTTTCTTGTTGTGAAAAGATGGCAATGTATATTAAGAAAAAAAAAAGACAAAATATAAGCCCTGCCCACCCGCCGTATCTCAATTCTGATGATTTTTTTTTTATTCGTCGTAAGCCGAGGGGGAGCTTTCCAGTTTCACACTGACAAATAATTGTCCAATGAAATGTTAAATATGTCAACAGCATTCTTTTAAACATAAATTTCATAGTCTTCTTGACAACTTTTTTTTCGATGATATTGGACTTAATAGCGGCTACAATTTCAAGAAAATAAGGTCAGGCTTTTTAATTTTAATCAATGAAATAAACTGCTTCATATTTTTTTTTAGTTACTCCGTATAAATAGTTCTGGAAAAACAGGAACGAATAGAAAAACTACATGCATACAGAAACATGGTTTCCTGAGAATTTCAAATAGGATTTGAAATTTAATGTTAAAACAATAATGTTGGCAACACCAACGAGTTTCAGTTTTACACAGACAAATAACTGTCAAATGAAGTGTCAAATAGCTGCAATGCCAGCACCATTGTTTTAAAAATAAATTTCAACCAAGATTAAGCCCCACACATACCTGCCCTGATTTAAATTGTAATGAATTAAAAAAAGAAATCACAATTGAGATGGGGTGCGTGGGCAGGATTCATAGTTTGCCTTTTTTCTTAATATGCGTAGTATTCTTTGGACAACACGATACTCAAAAACATGTTTTTAATTTCTTGTAAAGAAATACGTATTTTGCAGTTAAGCTGCGCCTCTTGGTTCACGGCGAATAAAAAAAATCATCACAATTGAGATAGGGCGGGTGGGCGGGCTTTCAATTTGCCTTTTTGTTTTAATATGTGTAGACTTCTTCTCACAACATGAAACTTAAAACATGTTTAAAATGGAAAATTTGTATAAGGAAATATCTATTTTGCCATTAGGCTCCGCCCCATAATTGCAAAAATGTACTATGTTCTGAGTTTCTTGTTGTGAAAAGATGACTATGTATATTAAGAAACAAAGGGCACATATAAGCCCCGCCCACCCGCCCAACTTAATTCTGATGATTTTTTTTTATTCGTCGTAAACCAAGGGGGTGGAGCTTAACTTCAAAATACGTATTTCTTTACAGGAAATTAAAAACATGTTCTTGAGTACCATCTCAATTGTGAAGATTTTTATTCTTAAAAACTTAAAACACGTTTAAAATGGTAAATTTTTGTAAGGAAATACGAATTTTGCAATTAGGCTCCGAATGAAAACTTTATTACTATTTATGTCAGGCAGGTATGGGTGGGGTTTAATCTTTGGCTTTAATTTTTTTTGTAATATACACAGTGTTCTTTGAATAAAATGCTACTCAAAAACATGTTACATGGTAATTTCTTGTCGAGAAATAATAAGAATTTTGCAATTAAATTTCGCCCCTTTGGCTCTCGACGATTAAAAAAAAATCATCAGAATTGAGATAGGGCGGGTGGGCGGGGCTTATATTTTGCCTTTTTCCTTAATATACGTAGTCGTCTGTTTAGAACAAGAAACTTAAAATATGTTTAAAATGGTAAATTCTTCTAGACAAATATGGATTTTGTAGTTAAGTCCCTCGATCTGACAACGAATGAAAAATTCATCACAATTGAGAATTGAGATCGGGGCGGGTATGGGTGGAGCGTAATCTTTAGCTTTATTTTTTTCTTAATATACATTGTATTCTTTCAAAAAAATGTTTTTAATTTACCGTAGAGAAATAAGGTTTTTGCAGTTAAGCTCCGCTCATAATATGTGTAGACTTATTTCGAGAAAAAGAAAGTTACAATAAACGCAAGTACAGTCAAGAACAGAAAAGAGTTACTAATATATGTGGTAAAGGTACACGTCACGTTTCAATTTCAGGTGAGATTTACTCGTACTGATAGTTCTGTAATGACGTCATTCAATTTTTGTAAGGGATGAGTCAATAATTTGGGTTAGCGTCTCACCATACAATAATCTTAAAAATATTTATTAAGATGAAATTACAACGATGTGTACTTAAATTAAGCATTAAAAGCACCACAAAACTAAAATCTGCTATATGACTATTTTTTCATGTCAATAGCATTAGCTAATTCTAGAATATGTTGTGCCCATCTCATCATTGGCATGGCAATTATTGTTCCTTTGTGGAGAAAATATGCCTAAAAACGTATAATTAGTGAAAAATAACACAGACAAAAAGGTACCGCGACACCTTGCCTTCTTTCTGGTGTTCACTGAACATCTTTATAATTTTTTGAGCTAATGCAATGTCCTGTTTTGAAGGGGAAAATACCTCTTGAACCACTTCAATGTGACTTTTATGGAAAACTTTTTTTCCGGTATACCCCAACTGAGCTGCTTCCTCTGCTTGGTTTTTTACAATTTCTAAGTTCTTATAGTTGTTACTAGCCATATCAATTGCTTGCAGGTGAAAAGCTTTCGCCACTGTGACGACTTTCATGCGAGCGTATAATACTTCATTTAAGGTCTTACTTATTTTAACCCCTAATAATTTTCATATACACTTATTTAACGTAATGTAAAAATAAAAATTACCAAGCTGGACGCAGTAATCCATACATCCAAATGCCAATCCAACAAGCGTGAACTTAGAAGTCTTTGACAACGCCACTGCAGTGTTACAAATTTCTACTAAATTGACTAGTGACTCTGGAGATTCAACTGAGATTATCAGATTAACTTTTATGTCACTTTTAACATATTCATTTAGTAAGTCTGCAAACTAGATTACTAGGATGAGTAAGTCGTTGAACAGATTTAATTAAGTACTATCTGTACATCAGAAGGTTTGTCTACTTTTGGCAGACATATTGTATCAGGTACATGCTTCCCCGTCATTATAACTGACACATCTAGCTTTAATAATTCAGAATGTGGTTCGTTCATATGTACACCAAAATCATAGTTACTTTTCTTGATAGGCTTGCCTTGGTCGAGCAGTTGTCTAATATTAAGTCGTGCCTCTGACTGAAATTAACTTAACACAAAAGTAATAAGTAAATTGACGTAATTACTTTGTGGCTCAATACAACACTATCCTCACAGTCCAACATAATACAATCAACTTTTAACATAAAGGTACTGAGGACTTTTTTCAGGTTGTCTGCTGGTGCGTACAACACAGCTCTTCGAGGTGTATATTTCCGGAACGTCGTCTACACAACAAAACGTTTAAATAATAAGTATTCTTATTTTTACCTTGACGGAATTAAAAATGGGCTTCAGAAGAATCTGCACACGATTACAAAACATTGTCACAAAATTTGAATTAAGTAAGGTTAAATCTGACATAGAAAGCGCCCTCTGTAAGGTAAGCGATTAGCGGGACCTATGTTACCGACATACGTCGGCCATTTTGTCAATAATATTGTAAAGTTTAAAAAAATCTGTTACGCTTTTTATTAGCCGTTGTAAGTAGACACTTTGAAAATTTCTCTTTAATTTGTGGTAAATGAGGCCAAGTTGTGTTCCTTTTGTCGGTAAAAATATCTGTGTTTTCCAAATTGGTTTCTCCAGATGAGTCATATTTACCAAAATTTGACAAGGCCATAGATTTTCTTGAAAATCTTGTCTATTAACCCATGACATCAAACTGAACAACAAAAATAAGAATTTCCGCAGTTTCAGGTTATGACTGTTTGATGTGATACACTATTTATTAAATAAATTATTTAAAAATGAATAAAGGTGACCAACCTACTTTTGAAAACAAAGATGAAGAGGTGCTCTATTGGAGAAGCCTAGCCACACAATACTTTGATGAGTGAGTACTAACATTATCACGTTGCCCCTTGATTGCAATCCTTTCCAGTATCGATCGAATACAGAAAGAATCTGATGAATTCATCAGTGAATCACAACAACTGGAGCGCGAATATGAGGCGACAATAGAACAGAACGAAAAGAAAATAAAAGAACTAACCTTAGCTAACAACAGAGCGTATAATGAAATTGAAACCATAAGGGTAAGTTTTCGATCATGATTGACACCCGTGCTAACAAAACTTACAGGTAAAGTTGGACCAGAGCAATAAACACACTGTATCTCTCCAAACTCAAATCGAAAACCTATCCAAGGAGAAAACGGACATGGCGCGATATATCCGAGAACTCGAACAGAAAAACGACGACCTGGAAAGGTCACGACGGATCGTCGAGGAGAGCATTTCCGGCATCGAAGCAGCGTTCCACAACGCAATTGAACGAAACGCAATCCTCGAGTCCGAAATCGACGAAAAAGAAGGTCTTAAAGAGAAACTGCAGCGGTTAGCTGATGAAACGAGAGGTAAACATTTACGTGATTATCAGAAACGTGTTGAACGCTTTTTCCAGATCTAAAACAAGAGCTCTTGGTTAAAGAGCGATGTCAAGAAAACGAACGACCCGTGAATGGATACAAGCCGGTGTCCATTGTTGATTCCAACAGGCTTAAAGAAATTGAAACCCAAACGACGCCCATTAAAAGTAAGAAATCTCCTACTCGATTGAGTAAAACTATAAGACTACTCATAAGGCGATTGCATTTACGTAAATCGAAATGAAATCATTAATGGCTCTAATTTATTTTTAAGTGCACTTAAACGTAAGAATTCACTAATTGACTAAATAATCATTGTTGTATTATCATTACTAATTGATTGACACGTTAGTAACAAGACTCAACGCAACTGATTATGCTGTGATGGATAGTTTGACTGATTGTATCCGTATTTTGTGTTAAAATAGGAATAAATTATTTTTTTCATTGTGCTTCAGGCTTTCATTTACTTTATTTTGAGTCTTGTTGCATTTATTGTGCTTGTTGCTTTTAACCTTATCCTATTTTTTGTTGCTTTGTATGTTGTAAAAATTATCGCTAAATGTGGGAAATGGTCGTTAAATGCGGGAATTATCACAAGGTTAAGGATGACAGACGCGTGTTTGCAATAAATTCGTTGTATGAATGTTAGGCGATAACATTAAATAAGTGCGATATTAATTAAATAATCGCGTTCCATTTTTAAAGATTATCAGCATGGAAGAATTCGTGTCGTATATATACAGGTTGTTTCAAAAAAAGTAGACAAAACTAAAGAGATCACTATGTTGCTTGTCGGAAGTCGTTCGGTAAACTTCGACAAGCGCTGGAGATCCTTCCGGAATTTTCTGAGTGCCTACCGAAGTCTTTCGATGAACTGCCGAGGCTTGCCGAAGATTTCCGAATGACTCCTGAAAAGGAATAATTATCTCAGGTCTTCTTCTAGTGAAATTACATATATTTTAGCTACAATAAACTGTATTTTTGTCTTGTCTGGAAAAATTTAAGTCTGTTTTATTATACCGTCGTAAACTTAATGACCATAATAATATAGTTTGGAAAGATTGATAATAATATCCACCTATTGTGTACTTTAGTATTCATAAATCGCGGCCTCGACTTCTTGAATTGTCTAAAAAAAATGGGAAAAACTTGTTTTAATTTATACTTTAATTAACACAAGGTAACAGTAATTGATAAAATATTCTCTTCTGGGAAGTTTGGAGTTTTAAATTTGGGAATCTTTGTTTTGTACAACAAGGTACAAAATTTATTTTCAGATTTATTTCCAATGAGATAATTAAAATTAATGTTAAAATATTTAATTAAATGCACAGAAAAAATACAAAAGATTTTTTATGTGCACGGAAATTTCCTCGCCCTTGAAGTACAACGAATACCGCTTCAATTAAGTTTATTTAATCGTATCTTTCCATTAAATTTCTGATGTTGATGAATGTATTACTCATAACTGCTCCCAGAACTTTTGGGAAAACCATACGAGTTTCTTCTAATTTTAGATAATCATATATTAGATCTGTCTATATATTTTTTGAAATAACTGTTGCTCAAATTCAAAAGATAAGATATCGCAGTGCAAGCAATATATCATTTCTATTTAATATTTTGTCTGAGTGACGTCATCAATTTTTTTTTATCCAGTCAATTTGTTTAGAATATCTTTATTAAAATTAAAACCAACGCAATAAATAATCAAACTACACATTTTTGATTTTCTACCAAACAGGTTATTTGATCTTAGTATTATCACCATTTAATACAGAAATTTTTCTTTAAAACAAGAGTCGCATCCGAAGAATAAAATTTCTAAAGTAGTCAGGGTTGGCCCAATTTAAATCAAGTGATTAAAAAAAATTTTGATTTAAATCATTTTTGTCAGTTTTTTTTTTTACAAACTATAAAAATATAATGCATATTTTAAATGCAGTTTAAAAATCAAAATAAGTAGAATATTGACTACAATAAAATATTTTCAACAAAATAAAACATAAAATAAAGTGTGAAAAAATAGTTTCTTGTTGTAGGAATAAGTCTACACATATTAAGAAAAAAAAGGCAAAATGTAGCCCCGCCCACCCGCCCTGTCCCAATTGTGATGATTTTTTTATTCGTCGTGAGCCAAGGGGCCGGAGCTTAACTGCAAGATTCATGTTTGTCTACAAGAATTTACCATTTAAACATGCTTAAAGTTTCTTGTTTTGAAAAGACGACACGTATATTAAGAAAAAAGGCAAAATATAAGCCCCGCCCACCCACCCTATCTCAATTGTGATGATTTTTTTTATTCGTCGAGAACCGAAGGCGCGGAATTTAATTGCAAAATTGTTATTATTATCGTGTTATTAAAAAAATACTATGTGTATTAAGAAAAAATTAAAGCCAAAGATTAAGTCCCACCCACACCTGCCCTGATCTAAATTGTAATGAAGTTTTCATTCGTTAACAGACCTAGGGGGGAGCCCAATTACAAAATCCATATTTCCTTACAAAAATTTTCCATTTTAAACTCGTTTTAAGTGTTTAAGAACAAAAAAGTCATCACAATTGAGATGGGGTGGGTGGGCGGGGTCTATATTTCAGAAATGATTGAGTCTGGCAATCCTGGATTTTTTGGTTGGTATATGTTTTCTATCATTTTAAGCTGTCAGTAGTCAAAATTGACAGATTTTTGACATTTTAAAACCAAAATGCATCGCATGTCACAGAATAACCTAAGGAAAATTCACATTTTTACTTTAAAAGTTTTGCCAATAGACTGTCATTTCTGATCACGCGGTAGCAACGCGAGATTTTGACATGTCAAATTTCAAATTGAACTTGACAATCTGTCAGTAGTATCAACTTACAAACTTTATGGCCTACTGGATATCACATATTAATGCGGAGTTATGAAAAAGATCGTGATTTAAAAAAAATCATTGATAGACAAAATATTAATATGATGTCATCAATTTTCTGAAGGGGACGAATAATTAAATTTTGTAGTTCACGTGGTGGTTTTTTTACCTTTTATTTTAAAATTTTGGGTGTTCGTTAAAACTACCGCAAAAATCACCGAGCTCTGACTGCAATGTAGGTATGAATCGCCTCCAAAAAAATGATAAAAATTGTTATAATAATCTTATTTTGAATGTGCAAAATCGCATGCTGTTTTATCAGTGTTTAATCCATCACTATTTTTAACTTCGGGGCTTCGCTGTAACACAAAGTTTGTAGACCCAAATGTCACAATTCTTACTTCTCGGGCGTAAGCTAATTTCATGTTTTCGACGTTTCATAGCTCCTAGAATATGAAAAAGTAGGTCCCATTTCCGTCTGTCCGTCGTCTATTGGCGACTTTGGACAGAAAATCTCCAAAATTTGTCTAGTCATCCCCACCAAAGATTTGATGATGTCATCTCAAAATGTTTCTAAGTAAGTCCTGCTTATAATGCACAAAATAATACGCTTGTATGTCTGCAATTTATTAGTTCACGCCATTTTTAACCTTATGCATGTAGATTTTTCACCAACATTTTAGAATTTAATTTAGCAACTACGAAACCGATTGCTTCGAAATTTTGCAAACGTTTTAAAATTGTCGCGAATATCAAAGTTCACCTATTCATCATTTCCAAAAACATGATGACGTCATCTCAATTTTTTTTAGAATTGTTTATATAGGTGTTTGAAAAAAAAGTGAACGAAGCAATTTATTGTATTAATTATTGAATAAAAAACGGTTTCATTTTTCCAAAATTGTGTATTCAAAGTAATGTTATTATTAGTATCACATTAAACGATCAAAATTGAGATATTTGTCCCCACCAAAGAGTGAATGACGTCAGCACAGAATTTATCAAGATAAGTTTACTTACTGCAGAATAAAAGTTTATAATTTGTGTTTTGTTTTTTACGAATTTAAAAAAGTCGTCAGTGCCGCAGTGTTTTTTTTTAATTCGGGAGACTCTTGCCCATGGAGATTTTTTTTGGAAAATTCTGATTTTGAGTTAATTTTAGGGCCCCATTTTTTTTTTGAAAAATTTTAAACAATCTTGAGGTTGTAAATATTCCTGTTTGGAAATAATTTCGAAGTGCTTTGGAGCTTCTAGTGTCTTTTACTAGCCCCGCCCACCCGCCCTCTCTTTTCCTAGAGGGTATCTCATTTGCTAAAATCAGTCTTATCTTAGGAGGTACTAGCCGCGCCCACCCACCCTCTTTTCTAAGAGGATATGTTATTTGCCAAAATCAGTTTTATCTTAGCAGGTACTAGCCCCGCCCACCCGCCCTTTTTTCTTACAGGGTATCTCATTTGCCAAAATCAGTTTTATCTTGGCAAGTAGTAGCCCCGCCCACCCGCCCTCTCTTTTCTTAGAGGGCATGTCATTTGCCAAAATCAGTTTTATGTTAAGTACTGATGACTAACTTTTACAAAAAATGATCAAAATTTGGAAACATTACTGTCTTACTTATATGCACAAGGCAGGAATTTTGAACATCTCTAGCGTTTAGTTGTTATGCTTTAATGGATTTTTTTTGGTTTATTGTTCTACTTCTATAAAATTACGTTCTTTACGTAATCTACATCATAAAGAATTTTTTTAGGACTCCCGAAACTCCTGTACATAACGTACTGAATAGTTAATCCGCCATTTTCTAGACACCCGGTATAGGTGTCTGGAAAAAAAAAGTGAACGAAACAATTTATTGTTATCAATTATTATTAAATCAAAAACAGTTTCATTTTCCCGAAATTGTGCATTTAGAGTAATGTGGTTATTAGTATCACATTAAACGATCAAAATTGAGGTATTTGTCCCCACCAAAGAGTGAATGACGTCAGCACAGAATTTATCAAGATAAGTTTACTTACTGCAGAATAAAAGTCTATAATTTGCGTTTTATTTTTTACGAATTTAAAAAAGTCTTGAGTGCCGCAGTGTTTTTTTTTTTAACTCGGGATACTCTTACCCATGGAGATTTTTTTTTGTAAATTATTTAAAAGAATTTTGGACGCCTTTGGTGTTCTATTTTTGGAAAATTCTGATTTTGAGTTAATTGTAGGGCCCCATTTTTTTTTTTTTTTTTGAAAAATTTGAAACAATCTTGAGGTTGTAGATATTCCTGTTTGGAAATAATTTGGAAGTGCTTTGGAGCCTCTAGTGTCTTATAATAATTTAATTAAATTTCTTAGAGGATACGTCATTTGCTAAAATCAATCTAATCTTAGCAGGTCCTAGCCCCGCCCACCCGCCCTTTTTTCTTACAGGGTATCTCATTTGCCAAAATCAGTCTCTTATCTTAGCAAGCACTAGCCCCGCCCACCCGCCCTCTCTTTTCTTAGAGGGCATATCATTTGCCAAAATCAGTTTTATCTTAAGTATTGATGAGTAACTTTTACAAAAAATGATCAAATTTTGGAATCATTACTGTCTTACATATATGCACAATACAGGAATTTTGAGCATCTTCTCTAGTGTTTACTTGGTTATGCTTTAGTGGATTTTTCTTTTGTTTATAATTTATAAATGTCTTTTTTTGGTTTATTTGTTAATCAAAAATAAGGACTTATTTTATTAATAATAATGTACAAAGATTAATGACTACTGATTGTTATGGTTATTGTCGTAAAAATAAAAGGTGGATTTCAGTCACTATCGTTCCTAAGAAATCAGAAAGTAAGCCGGAGGTATTCACGCATTAGGTGCGTGCAGTGTTGCCAATTTTACTTTTATAAAATTAATTAAAATTAAAAAAGTTAACCCGCTTTTTCTAGACACCCGGTATATTTGTCTGAAAAAAAAGTGGATGAACCAGTTTATTATATTAATTATTAAATCAAAAAGGGTTTTATTTTCCCAAAATTGTGCATTCAGAGTAATGTTGTTATTAGAATCACATTAAATGATCAAGATTGAGATATTTGTCCCCACCAAAGAGTGAATGATGTCAGCACAGAATTTATCAAGATAATTTTACTTGGAACATACAACATAATAAAATTTTATAGTTTGTATAATATATTATACAAACAATATTTTTAATATAATACAAAAATTGCGACAGTACATTCATAAAATGCCACCATATTTGTTTATTATTTAGCACAGTATTAAAAAGACGGTATTTTTGAACTTAAAGAAATAGTTGGCACCATAGTGAGATGTAGACCTTGACGCGGAAAATAGTGGCGATGAAGAAGCTAAATTTATTTGGCTAAGTAAATAAAAGACCAAAAATTCTTTAAAGAAATGTTTATTTTGAGAACAATCATCAAACAGTTGCTTTATCCATTATCATCCGCTGTTACACTTTTAACTTGTGGAAGGGTTGTTTGTTGCTTAACTCATGCTTATAATCACCCCTCAGCAATATCCAACCACAAAAGCTAAAATATGTTTTTTCCAGAAGATCAGCTACCATATCAAGCGCCCATAACACCGGCGTCTCGTGTAATGGCCTTAAACATCGTAAGCGACCTCATCCGAAAAGTCGGGGTAAGTAAACAACCCCCTTAATAAATAAGTAGTCGGGTGTAGAACTCGCTTTTCGTTAAACCGGAACAGGTGTTAGGATATTGTTTTCTATTTTGTTGGTAGCCTGCATGTGTTTGCACGTTTCTGTGTTGCTTCCAGTTGTCTCGTTTCCTTTGTTCACAATGCGGCCGGTATAAATGTACAGTTTGCCCGCCATCTGCCGTTAATCCCACCAATAACACACCGAGGTGCGTTTATGCTTCTAAGGCTGGGGCATAATCCGTCCTGCCCCGCTCTCGATACTCACATACCTTCATGTTTTAGGGTCTAGAGCGCCGACTGGAAAAAAGCCGATTCGATTACCGAGACATCGGTTCGAATGATCTCAGGTAAACGCCAAAACGCGCCGGTTTGTGCTAATCGGTGACGTTTCAGGAGTCGACATTCGGCCAAAAATAGTCCCGCTCCGAGCATCCAAGGCCTGTCCAAATGAGAGTAAAGGTTTGATCCCGAGGGTTTTCGAATCGGGAACCACATATAGTAAAAGTAATCAGTGTTTTAGGTACGTCTGGCTTAAAAACAAAACTCTCTCATTGTCCAGTATTATGTTTGTTCTGTAGCTTTTTTTTGTTCAACTTGTATTAAATACGGTGGAAAAAGTGATCTTTGTCAGTGCTTCGTGATATTATTTTAAGTCAGGAGTTCCTTTAACATTCTGTAAATAATTTTGGTGATAATTTTTCTAGATAGGTGATGTTTTTCGCTTAAAGCAACTATTCCTTTAATATATGTAAATATTATCGTGAATAACCGTGTGACTGGGTTCATCTTTCAAACTTGTTTACGTCTCGAGCTGACGTAAATTAAGGTTTCGTTGCTGCCTTTCATTCAAAAATAATATATTTTTTCACATATTTAATATTGAGTAGAGTAATTTAAAACGGGTTTTGCGTTTTACTAGTTTGCCGTTTTTTGTAATAATTTATTCAATCCAATCACTAATAATTAGGTACAAATTTTATATTTTTAATGCATATTCCATAAGTTAAGGTGCAAATATTTATTACTGTATCATAGATGAAAATAAACATTTAAAGTAATACACCTGTGAAAATTTTACCCAAACTGAGACTAGGTGCGGGATTTGCGACTTCGGGGGCAAACGTTTTGATGCTTTTCAGCAGCGGCAGCATCTGTAAGTGCGCCTCAAACGTAGGAATGCCGTCTTTGGATTTTTTGCTTTTTAGACATATTGGCCCTAAAATTTTCAGTTAGAAACTTTTCAAAAAGAATTAGTGACTGACCTGCCATATGTGAGGAACTCGCCAGGAATAAAATGAAGACGTAGATAGGAAGGCACTGCAGAACGTAACGAATCTTCGTCAGAATTTCTTCAACTATAAGTATGACCAACCTAAACTAAATTAAAAGTCATACAAGTGATAACAAAAGTTGTAATAAACTTACTGTAACAAACACGGCGTAATACATGGCGGTGGTTGGTAGAAGAAACAACAACACAGTAAACCCTAAAGTACCAATAAATAACTGATGTTGGGAATACTGATAAGAGTCCACTCTTGTTCTAAGAGGGTTATATTTTCTCCCAATAAATAAGCGCCACAGAGACAATAAACCCTTAAGTTGAAAATAAATTAACCTGGCGGCGTACACATAGATGCAATACACGTGAAAAGTGGCAATTGAAATGAGATCAGAAAGCATCGCTATTTGGTAAGAAAACCCAAACACGGCTGGTAACACCAGGAATCTAAAATATTCCTTAAGAAAGGGTTGCATTGTTATTAAGAAAACCCTCCACAGGGATATGTGGTAGAAGAAAAATGTCCCTAATGACTTATTAAATGCATAATTCAATTTCAAACCAATGGGTGACCCCATCAGATAAATCAAAAGATCGCGGAAATTATGAATGATATTTTCTCTCACGTTTTCAATAAACCTAACAATGAAGTCCTCATGTTCTAGGAAAAACCTCAACAACAACACCCCCAAAACCAAATCAAAAATTTTTGAAAATAGAAGATTGCCGCTCTTTGGAGTCAAGCGCTTTTCTTTCAATAACTGCTCAATAAACCATTTATATGACTCTAGGTTGTCACGAAAATGCGTAACTGTGGCTGAATACCCCCACAGTGGTTTTGTTTTATTAAAAACTGTCACCAGTCCTTCCAACAAAACATTAAAAAATAACAGTAGCCTGAACGCTAGACTTTTGCGCCCATTTTCATCACTCACTCGCCGCCTTTTTCTGACGTTGCAGCTCAAAAATTTAAAATGAACCCCATACTGAACCTCTGGGTTCAACTCGTCGCAGTCCCGGAATGCCTTAAAGTCGTACACAATTCTGACCACGTTGGGGTTACTATAATTGATGAGAGTGATTTTCGAGGTCGCATTGTCTATGTGCAAAGTCCTGGAGTCCCTTTTGACTCTGGTTACATCGTTGCTCAAATACCCCACAACGTTGTTCGATTTTTCCTTCAGTGGTGCGTCATTCGTGATGTAATACGCCGCACATTCGTCACTCTCGTTACGAACACCCTCTAAATACCCAGTTTTGTTTAAATGGAGCGAATTTGGTACAAAAACCAGGATATTTTTCACCATGACAAGATTAAGTAAACATAACCTACAATGTAACGTCACGTGTTTCCAGCGACCCGTATGATTGGTCAAGGTGGGAGTTCATACGTCACTTTTTGACAGTCCACACCACATGTCTTGTGACGTACATTTTGCACTAGAATACAAGGAAAAATGTTTATCGTAAAAGATGACTCATTTACATTTGTAATCAAACTAGAACATAAACCTTTGTGCATCTTGACATAATTACAATAATGCGCGTAATTATATAATTTAATTGTCTGCAATGGAGGAAGACACGTCGAATATTAACCAAATTAGGGCCACACGGTTTAGGGTGAGTTCGCACGATTAAATTTTTTTTGGTTAAAGGGTGTTTCAGAACTTGCCTTCTGTGAGCTCGTTGAGTCAGGAAGAGCTGATAATCACGGCCCCCGAGGAGCCCGAATTGCTGTCATCGATTCGAAGGCGGGTGCAAATCAGTTCTGAAAAAATAGAAACAGGGTCGTTAAATGTGTTATCAGCCAAATATGAGGTGCGTGGGATTGGGTATTGAGCAGGTTTGAACTGTGGTTTTTAGAGCCTCGATTATGACACTTGCGAGAATTATTTATTGTTGGACGAAGAGAGAAAGAAGGGGTATCGATTTATAATTAAGAAAAATTTAGCACGGTGGTTCATTTTTTTACTGATTGGGGTGATCACGGCGTTGATTGCGTGTGCCATAGACATATCCATTGAAGAATTGTCCCAACTCAAATATGCTTCATTAAGTGATTGTAAGATTTTTAACACACTTATAACCATTGTGGTTGAATTTTAATGTGTTGCAGATGTAGATGAGTATGTAATAGAAGGCAGACTCCACATCCCGTATTTCCTGTGGGTTTTATTCAACGTGGTTCCGGTATTAATAGGATCCGCTCTAGTCGCTTATGTAGAACCCATCGCCGCCGGTAGTGGAATACCCCAAGTCAAGTGTTATTTAAATGGGGTAAAAATACCACAAGTAGTTCGCATAAAGACGCTTTTCGTTAAGAGCGTGGGAGTCGTGTGTTCGGTGGTTGGGGGACTCGCTGGCGGAAAGGTGACTATTTTGTTTACTACAAAAACGTCTTTAATGTTTTGCTTAGGAAGGGCCTATGATACATTCTGGGGCTGTCGTCGCAGCGGGAATCTCCCAAGGCAAGAGTACGACATTCCGCCGCGATTTTAAAATATTGAAATATTTTCGGGAGGACCATGAAAAACGGGACTTCGTGTCTGGAGGGGCCGCCGCTGGAGTTGCTGCCGCCTTTGGGGCTCCCGTCGGTAAATAAATCTAAATTTAGTTAATTTATCTGTGTTGATAACAGGGATTTATCGTTAAAAATAAATATAAAATGACGAGACGGAATCCGAGGTGAATAACATTCCCACCTAAATTATCATTGTTTAGTTAGTACTGATTAAATTAATCCACGCATTGTTTTTTTCGCAGGCGGGGTTCTCTTTAGTTTGGAGGAAGGTACAAGTTTTTGGAACCAAAGTTTGACGTGGCGGACATTTTTCGCCTCAGTCATTAGTACGTTTACGCTTAACGTCGTTCTGTCGGCGTACCATGGAGTACCTGGCGATTTGAGTTATCCGGGGCTTTTGAATTTAGGCAAATTTGAAAACTTTAGTTATCAGGTGTATGAGTTACCGATTTTTTTGCTTATGGGGGCGTTTGGAGGGTTATTAGGAGCCTTGTGGAACCATATCAATTACAGATTGTCAGTATTTAGAATGAGGTAACAGTTTTTGAGGCGCGTTAGTTGTACCTATTTTAGTTGTTTTATTACAGATATATTAAGCAAAAGTGGTTGAAAGTCGTTGAAGCGTGTATGGTGGCAGCTGTCAGTGCGACTGCGGGGTTTTTGATGATGTTTTGTTTGAACGATTGTAAGCCGCTGGGACAAGACCCAACAAAATATCCAACTCAGGTAAAATAACTTTTATTGACCATCACGGTCACTTCTAAAATTTGTTAAATAAATGTCGCTTGAAGTTTATTTTTTTGTTTTGAACTGATTTAATGGTTACAGAACGTCGACATTTATTTACACAACATCCCCACCAGAAATTTGATGGCGTCATTTCAAAATCTGTTTTGTAATTAAAAAAAATTAAATTCTAGTTTATTTCTTCTGTAGCTCAGTACCATCTATCAAAGTGACAACTTGAAAGTAATATGACAAAATCTTCTGGATTTTTAAATTTACAGTACTTTTAGAATCAAACTATTTTTGAATTTTTATAATTTTTGGAGTCCTAGCAAATTTTTGGATCTATTTTTGCAATTTTTAGTAGTAGAAAATTTAGAATTTACGATTTTTTCCCAAATCACTACAGTTACTAAACATATCCTGTTGTATTATAAGCAAAACTTTGTTTTTAGTGTGTTTAAGGCACATTTGGAACTTGAGAATTCACAAAATTTCGAAAAATTCAAAATTTTATTTTTAGTATTTTCAAATTTATATCCAGAATTTTTGATTCCGAGATAATATGACTAAAATTTCTGGACTTTTAAAATTACATTACTTTTAGAGTAAAATTATTTTCGAATTTCGATCGTTTTTATTTTTAATATTTTCAAATGTGTCCAGAATTTTTGATACAATATGACTAAAATTTTTTGGACTTTTAAAATTATACTATTTTTAGTGTCAAATTGTTTTCGAATTTCTATAATTTTTGGAGTCCTGTGTAAAACCTTTGGATCTCTTTTTGCAATTTTTAGTAGTGAACAATTAGAATTTACGAAATTTTCTCAAATCACTGCAGTTACTAAGATATCCTGTTGCATTATAAACAAAATTTTGTTGTTAGTGTATTTAAGGCACATTTGGAACTTGGAAATTCACAAAATTTTGAAAAATCGAAAATTTTATTTTTAATATTTTGAAATATGTATCCAGAATTTTTAATTCCAAGATAATGACTACAATTTTCTGGACTTTTAAAATTATATTACTTTGAGATTCAAATTATTTTCGAATTTCTATAATTTTTGGAGTCCTGTGTAAAACCTTTGGACCTCTTTTTACAGTTTATAGTAGTAGAAGATTTACGAAAGATTCGTAAATATCGAAAATTTTATTTTTACTATTTTTAAATACGTATCCAGATTTTTTGGATTTAAAGATAATCCTACAAAAATCTTCTGGACTTTTAAAATGATATTACTTTTAGAATCAAACAATTTTCGAATTTCTATAATTTTTGAAGTCTTGTGTAAAACCTTTGGATCTCTGTTTGCAATTTTTAGTAGCAGAAGATTTAGAATTTACAAAATTTCAAAAATATCGAAAACATTTTTTCTGCTTTTTTTAAATACGTATCCAGAATTTTTGGATTTCAAGATAATATTACTAAAATTTTCTGGACCTATAAAATTTTACTTTTAAAATAAAACAGTTTTCTAATTTATATAATTTTTGAAGTCCTGTGTAAAACTTTGGATCTCTTTTTGCAATTTTTAGTAGTAGATAATTTAGAATTTAGAAATTTTCAAAAATATCGAAAATTTTATTTTTACTGCGAGTATTTTTAAATACGTATCCAGATTTTTTGGATTTAAAGATAATCCTACAAAAATCTTCTGGACTTTTAAAATTATATTACTTTTCGAATTTCTATCAGTTTTGAAGTCCTGTGTAAAACTTTGGATCTCTTTTTGCAATTTTTAATTGTAGAAGATTTATAATTTACGAAATTTTTATTTTTAATATTTTTAAATACGTATCCAGATTTTTTGGATTTTAAGATAATACTACAAAAATCTTCTGGACTTTTAAAATTATGTTACTTTTAGAATCTAACAATTTTCGAATTTCTATAATTTTAGAAGTCCTGTGTAAAACTTTGGATTTCGTGTTGCAATTTTTTGTTGTAGAAGATTTATAATTTACGAAATTTTTATTTTTAATATTTTTAAATACGTATCCAGATTTTTTGGATTTACAGATAATAGTACAAAAATCTTCTGGACTTTTAAAATTATACTACTTTTAGAGTAAAATTATTTTGGAATTTCTATAATTTTGGATTCCTGTGTAAAACCTTTGGATGTTTTTTTTTACACTTTTTAGTAGTAGAAGATTTACGAAAGTTTCGGAAACATCGAAAATTTTATTTTTACTATTTTTAAATACGTATCCAGATTTTTTGGATTTAAAGATAATCCTACAAAAATCTTCTGAACTTTTAAAATTATATTACTTTTAGAATCAAACAATTTTCGAATTTCTATCATTTTTAAAGTCCTGTGTAAAACCTGTGGATCTCTTTTTGCAATTTTTAGTTGTAGAAGATTTATAATTTACGAAAGTTTCGGAAATATCGAAATTTTTATTTTTAATATTTTTAAATTCGTATCCAGATTTTTTGGATTTAAAGATAATACAACAAAAATCTTCTGGACTTTTATATTACTTTTAGAATCTAACAATTTTCGAATTTCTATAATTTTAGAAGTCCTGTGTAAAACTTTGGATCTCGTGTTGCAATTTTTTGTTGTAGAAGATTTAGAATTTGGAAATTTTCGAAAATATCGAAAATTTTGTTTTTCTACGAGTATTTTTAAATACGTATCCAAAATCTTTGGATTTCAAATTTTAAAATTTTACTTTTAGGATCTAACAGTTTTCGAATTTCTATAATTTTTGAAGTCCTGTGTAAAACCTTTGGATCTCTTTTTGCATTTTTTAGTAATAGAAAATTTATAATTTACGAAAGTTTCGGAAATATCGAAAATTTTATTTTTAATACATATTTTTAAATACGTATTCAGATTTTTTGGATTTAAAGATAATACTACAAAAATCTTCTGGCCTTTTAAAATTATATTACTTCTATGGTCAAATTATTTTCGAATTTCTATAAATTTTGGAGTCCTGTGTAAAACCTTTGGATCTCTTTTTGCAATTTTTAGTAGTAGAAGATTTAGAATTTAGAAATTTTCAAAAATATCGAAAATTTTATTTTTACTACGAGTATTTTTAAATACGTAGCCAGAATTTTTAGATTTCAAGATAATATTACTAAAAGCTCCTGGACTTTCAAAATTTTACTTTTAGAATCAACTTGTTTTCGAATTTTTATAATTTTTGGAGTCCTGTGTAAAATCTTTGGATCTCTTTTTGCATTTTTTAGTAATAGAAGAATTAGAAATTACGAAATTTTCTCAAATCACTACAGTTACTAAAGATATCCTGTTGCATTATAAGCAAAATATTGTTTTTAGTGTATTTACGGCACATTTGGAACTTGGAAACTCACAAAATTTCGAAAATGTTATTTTTAATATTTTGAAATACATATGTATACAGAATTTTTGATTCCAATATAATATTACTAAAATTTTCTGGACTTTTAAAATTATATTACTTTTAGAGTCAAATTATTTTCGAATTTCTATAATTTTTGGAGTCTTGTGTAGAACTTTTGGATCTAGATATCTCTTTTTGCAGTTTTTAGTAGTAGAAGATTTAGAATTTATGAAAGTTTGGGAAATATCGAAAATTTTAAAATTTTACTTTTAGAATGATTTAAAAAAAATTAAGTCGAGGTGTTGGATTTTACCAATTTTCTAATATCTCAATTGATTAAAAAATAAGATTTTGAAATGACCAAATTAAACAAAAAAAATTGTTATTATGTTACTAGACAGAACTTCCCCAGTTAAAATTTTACTCTTAAAATAAACACAATTTTCGAATTTCTATAATTTTTGGGGTCCTGTGTAAAACTTTGGATCTCTTTTTGCAATTTTTAGTAGTAGATGATTTAGAATTTGGAAATTTTCGAAAATATCGAAAATTTTATTTTTACTACGAGTATTTTTAAATACGTATCCAGAATTTTTGGATTTCAAAATAATATTACTAAAATCTTCTGGACCTTCAAAATTTTACTTTTAGGATCTAACAATTTTCGAATTTCTATAATTTTTGAAGTCCTGTGTATAACTTTGGATCTCTTTTTACGATTTTTTGTTGTAGAAGATTTAGAATTTGGAAATTTTCGAAAATATCGAAAATTTAATTTTTAAATTTTTAAATACGTATCCAGATTTTTTGGATTTAAAGATAATACTACAAAAATCTTCTGGCCTTTTAAAATTATATTACTTCTATGGTCAAATTATTTTCGAATTTCTATAAATTTTGAAGTCCTGTGGAAAACCTTTGGATCTTTTTTGCAATTTTTAGTAGTAGAAGATTTAAAATTTAGAAATTTTCAAAAATATCGAAAATTTTATTTTTACCACGAGTATTTTTAAACACGTATCCAGAATTTTTAGATTTCAAGATATTGTTACTAAAAGCTTCTGGACTTTCAAAATTTTACTTTTAGAATCAGCCAATTTTCGAATTTCTATAATTTCTGAAGTGCAAAAATGACTCGGAAGACATAAAATCCAGTCATTGAAAAATTGAAAAACTGAAACATCGAGAAACGAAACATTAAAAGATTGAGAAATCGAAAAATCGAGACGAAAATTTTGAAAAATTTAAAATAAAAAAATATAAATCCAAAAACGAACCATGTAAAAATCGAAAAATCAAATAATCTAGGAATTGATCAGTCGAAAAATCGAAGCGTTGAAATCTCGAGAAAACCAGAAATCGAAAAATTGAAAATGGGTAAATCAAAAATTTTGAAAATCGGAAAATTGTAAAAACCGAAAAATATAAAACCGGCAGGTCAAAAAGTCGAAAGATCGAGCAACCGAAACACCAAAAAATCGAAAACTTTAAATATCGAAAAATTGAAAAATCCAGAAATTGAAAAATTCCCAAAATTTAAATGTTGAAAAATTTTTTTAATCGAAAAACCAAGCCGTCTAGAAATCGAATGAAAACATCCTATAATCGAAAAATGCAAAATTTAAAAATCAATTTGAAAATTACAAGAACCGAAAAATTGAAAAATAGAAAAATCGAGAAATCGAAAATTCCAAAATTTTAAGAATCGAAAAACTGAAAAATCGAGAAATCGAAAAATTCCAATACTGAATCGACGAAAAATTGAGATATCGAAAAACTAGAAAATTGAAAAATCCAAACTCAAAAAATTGAAAAATTGAAATACATATCGAGGAACGAAACATCAAAAGATCTGGAAATCGAAAAATCGAAAAGTCAAGTAGAGTCGAGAAATAGAAAAATCGAAAAACCAAAAGGTTAAAAATTGAAAAATTCAAATAAAAAAAAATCGAAAAATATAAAAATTTGGAAAATCGAGAATTGAACAATCGAAAAATCGAAACATGGAAATATTGATAAATAAAGAAAACAAAAAATTGGAAACTCAAAAAACTGAAAAAACTAAAATTTAATAATTCGAAAAATCTAAAATTTTAAAAATCGAAACATCAAAAAATTTAAAAATCGAAAAACTGAAATATCTCAAAACTGAAACTTAAAAAACGAAAACGCGAAAAATCGAAAAATTTCAAAAATCGAAATATTGAAGAATTGAAAATCTGAAAAATCGAAAGATCGAGAAGTGGAAAATTGAAACATCAAAAAATCGAAAAGTCGAGTAAAGTCGAAAAATTGGAAAACTGAGAAATTGAAATAGTCAAAAATCGAAAATTCGAAAAGTTAAAAAATTTAAAAATTTATATTTAAAAAAAATTTAAAAATTGAAAAATCGAGGAATTGAACAACGAAGAACCGAAACATCGATCTCGATAAATCCAGAAATCAAATAATTGAAAAATCGCAAACCAAAAATCCAAGAAATCAAAAATTTAAAATCTAAAACCGAGAGGCGAAAAATCGAAAATTTAAAAAATCGAAAAACTCTGTCAAAAATCTAAAAAATTGAAAATTAGAAACAAAAAAATGGAAATGAAAAAGCCGAAAAACAAAAAAAATTGATTAATCGGGAAAATGAGAAATCGAAAAAGCGATAATTTAACAACATCCAGAATTTAAAAAATTGTAGAATCGAAAAATTAAAAAATTCCAAAACCGAAACATGGAACAATTGAGAAATCGAAAAATTCTAAAATTGAGAAATAGAAAAGTCGAAAAATCGGAAATTAAAAAAATTTAAAAATAGTTAACTGAAAAATGGAAAGATTGAGGAATCGAAAAATCGAAACATCAATTTTGATGTTCTCAATATTTATTGAGAAATCGAAAATTCGAGTAATCAAAAAATAGAAAAACTGAGAAATCAAAATAGTTTAAAATTGGAAAACCGAAATAGTCCTAATTCGAAAATTTAAAAATTCGAAAAACCGAAAAATCTGAAAATCAAAATTTTTGAGAATCGAATAATTGTGAATCGAAAAATTTAAGACCGAAAAGTTGAAAACTCGAGAAATCGAAACATCAAAAAACAGAAAAATCTAAAATTTAAAAATTCGAAAAATTTAAATATCTAAAATTTTAAAAACTGAAAAATTAAAATGTAGAAAAATTGAAGAAATCAAAAAATCGAAAAATTGAAAAACCTAAAATTTAAAAATCAAAAATTTAAAAAATTTAAAATGTAAGATACAGACAAATCGAAAAGTCGAAGAATTGAAGAATCGACACATCGAAAATTTTCAAAACTCAAAAATGAAAATATTGAAAAATCGGAGAAATATTCAAGAATCGAAAAAATTAAAAATCCCAAAACTGAAACATCGAAAAGTCGAAAAACTGAAGACGAAAAATAGAAAATTTAAAAAGTCGAAAAATTAAAAAAGCAAAAACCTGAAAGTCGAGAATTTGATAAATAAAATTTCTAGATTTTGCAATTTTTCGTTTCAGTTTTTTATAATCTTTATTTTTACAATTTTTCAGTTTTTCAATGTTCCGATTTCATAATTTTTTGTTTTTTCAATTTCACTTTTTTTTAATTTTTCGTTTCGTCAATTTTTCAAGTTGCAATTTTTCAATGAAAGCTTTCATCGCAATTGAGAAGGGGTGGGTGGGCGGGGCTCCTATTTGGTCCATGTTTTCTTAATATGCGATGTCTTCTTTTCCTAACAAGAAACTGACAATATGTTAAACTATCTTGTTGTTGAAAGAAAACTCCATATATTTAAAAAAAGAAAACAAAAATTCTCAAAACAACAGAATTATTAAATCCTCCGAAATCCATAATTATTAAATCCTCAGAACACCAGAATCCTCAAATCCTCAGAACACTATAATCCTCAAAATATCATAATATCACAATTGAGATGAGGACGGGTGGGCGGGGTTTGTTTTTGTCTTTTTTTTTATATATTTATATATTAGTACGTAGTTTTCTATTCATAACAAGAAAGTGAAAACTTGTTTAAAATGGTAAATTTGTAGAGAAGTGTGGGACATAAAATTTACCATTTTAAACATGTTTTCAGTCTTTTGTTGTGAAGAGTATGTATTTTAAGGACAAAAAAAGGCAAATCATAAGCCCCGCCCACCCACCCTGTCTCAATTGTGACGATTTTTCTTTATACGTTGTGAACAAGAAGGCGGAGCTTAATTGCAAAATCCTTATTTTTCTACGAGAAATTACCATTTGAAAAATGTTCTGAAGTAAACGTATTGTTCAAAGAAAAGTTTTAAGCAAAAGAGAAATCCAAAATTAAGCTCCGCCCTTCGACTCACGACGAATAAGAAAATTTATCACAATTGAGATGAGGGCGGGTGGGCGGGGTTTGCATTTTGCCTGTGTTTTCTTATGTGTGCGTAGTTTTCTATTTACCACAAGAAACTGAAAACTTGTGTAAAATGGTAAATTTGTAGAGAAGTATGGGAGATAAAATTTACCATTTTAAACATGTTTTCAGTCTTTTGTTATGAAGAGTATGTACATTAAGGGGAAAAAAGGCAAATCATAAGCCCCGCCCACCCACCCTGTCTCAATTGTGACGATTTTTCTTTATACGTTGTGAGCAGGAAGGCGGAGCTTAATTGCAAATTCCTTATTTTTCCACGAGAAATGACCATTTGAAAAATGTTCTGAAGTAAACGTATTGTTCAAAGAAAAGTTTTAAGCAAAAAACAAATCCAAAATTAAGCTCCGCCCGTCGGCTCACGACGAATAAGAAAATTCATCACAATTGGGATGAGGACGGGTGGGCGGGGTTTGCATTTTGCCTGTGTTTTCTTATGTGTGCGTAGTTTTCTATTTACCACAAGAAACTGAAAACTTGTGTAAAATGGTAAATTTGTAGAGAAGTATGGGAGATAAAATTTACCATTTTAAACATGTTTTCAGTCTTTTGTTATGAAGAGTATGTACATTAAGGGGAAAAAATGGCAAATCATAAGCCCCGCCCACCCACCCTGTCTCAATTGTGACGATTTTTCTTTATACGTTGTGAGCAGGAAGGCGGAGCTTAATTGCAAAATCCTTATTTTCCTACGAGAAATTACCATTCGAAAAATGTTCTGAAGTAAACGTATTGTTCAAAGAAAAGTTTTAAGCAAAAGAGAAATCCAAAATTAAGCTCCGCCCCTCGGCTCACGACGAATAAGAAAATTCATCACACTTGAGATGAGGGTGGGTGGGCGGGGTTTGTATTTTGCCTGTGTTTTCTTATGTGTACGTAGTTTTCTATTCACGACAAGAAACTGAAAACTTGTGTAAAATGGTAAATTTGTAGAGAAGTGTGGGAGATAAAATTTACCATTTTAAACATGTTTTCAGTTGTTTGTTGTGAAGAGTATGTACATTAAGGGGAAAAAAGGGCAAATCATTGTCGTGAATTGTCGCAAAAAAAATGAAACTTTGTAAATTTGTCTCACTTTGTAAAAATTAAAGCAAGGTCTTGTTAATTTTTCTTAAAGTGTCAAAAGCGTTAAACAAGATCAGTGATAAAAATTGCAACACTTAAAAAAACATCCTTGATGAATTAAATCAAGAAGTTTAATCATTTGCGGAAAAGCTAGTACAGATACAATGTCAATGATATAATCATTTGACAGATTTTTCAGATATCTCAGATACTCGAATGGACCACGTTGCCATTATAAAAAAAAATCTGTTTAATGCACTTGAAAAAATGTTCCTTGTTATGTACTCAGTGTTCACATGACGTTAAGCTGACTTAAATTCAAAAATAATTTTCACAAAATCATTTTACAAAAATTAAAAAAATCTCTTTTTAGCTATATTGCCAAGACGGACAATACAACGTCCTTGCCAGCATCTGGTTCCAAACCCCCGAAGCCTCAGTCCGCTCTCTCTTCCACGACCCGCCGAACACACACAACGCCACATCTCTCTTCGCCTTCGTTGTGATTTACTTCCTTCTGGCGTGCTGGACCTTCGGTTTAGCCACCTCGAACGGCCTCTTCATCCCCTCACTACTCACAGGAGCCGCCTGGGGTCGCCTCATCTCAGTAGGCTTATACAAAATAGTGCCCGACCAGGTCCTCATCCACCCCGGGAAGTACGCGCTGATTGGCGCCGCCGCTCAACTTGGCGGAGTCGTGAGGATGACCATCAGCTTGACGGTCATCATTATGGAAACCACAGGCAACATCTCGTTCGCGCTGCCTCTGATCATCACGCTGATAGCCGCCAAGTGGACGGGAGATTTCTTTAATGAGGGTATTTACGACACGCATATTCAGTTGAGTGGGGTGCCGCTGCTCCCCTGGGAACCGCCGCCGTTGGTACATAATATTTATGCCAGTGAGGTTATGTCGCATCCTGTTGTTACGCTGAAGTGTGTGGAGAATGTTGGGCATATTGTGGAGTTGTTGAAGCTCACCACGTATAATGGGTTCCCTGTGGTTGATCCACCGTTGACTGACCAGTCGGAAGTTACGACGTACGGGAGGATAAGGGGGTTGGTTTTGAGATCGCAGTTGATTGTTATTTTGAAGAAGAAGATTTTTAATGAGAATTCGGATATGTGGGACGATATTAATGTGGAGATTTTTAGAGACGAATATCCTAGGTATCCGACGATTGAGGTAGGTTTGTTATTATTTTATTATTTGCGGGTAACTAATTTTTTATGTATTTTTCAGCAAGTGTATGTCTCAGAGATAGAAAAAACATATTCGATTGATCTTAGGCCCTTTATGAATCCGTCACCCTACTCGGTGCTTCACGTAAGTTGTTAAAAAATTACTTTTTTTAAGTGTTATCATAGTACAGGGTGATTTTTTTAAATTTCTAGTTTCAATTTCACTGCCAACGTAACTAGAGCAGAAATTTAAAAAATCACCCGATAGTATAATACTGGTGTAGTCTATAACTTTAGAATTTTGGGTTCATGACGTTACTGTTGACGTTATGGATATTTATTTTTTTTCAATGGAAACCCGAGTTAATTATTACAGTTTCAGCCACAAAATCGTGGGCAGTTCTGTCATTCCAATGACATAAGTTCTAAAACAGGCTTTACGTACTTATAACCTCAAATTTGCCATGTTTGTCATTTTGACGTATGTCAAAATTTATTTTTTAAAAGTGTCAATCATTATGACAATAAAGTATAGACTACATCGTTTTTTTTTTAATAACAGAAATATACTGCCCAAGATTTTCTGGCCGAAACTGTACATAGGATAAAATATAAAAAAACAATAAAAACTGGTATTAAAGAGAAACAAATTTTTTATCATTTTGTTTATTTTTTTGCTTCTTACGAAAAAAACGTAATTTTATAAAAGTAAAATTGGCAACACTGCACTTACCTAATGCGTGAATACCTCTGGCTTACTTTTTGATTTCTTAGTAAGGATGATGTTTGAAATCCAGCTTTTATTTTTTTAGGACAATAACCGTAACAACCAGTAGTCATTAATCGTGTGCATTATTATTAATAAAACAAGCTGTTAATAAATAAACCAAAAAGAAACATTTAACAGTACATTTATAAATTATAAACAAAAACAAAACCAACAAAAGAAAAATCCATTAAATCGTAACCAACTAAACAGTAGAGAAGATGTTCAAAATTTCTACCTAGTGCATATAAATAAGGTCGTAATGTTTCCAAATTTTGATCATTTTTTGTAAAAGTTAGTCATCAGTATTTGGTAGGATAAAAAAGATTTTGGCAAATGACATACCCTCTAAGAAAGAGAGGGCGGGTGGGCGGATCTAGTACTTGCTAAAGACTGATTTTTGGCAAATGACATATCCGCTAAGAAAATAGAGGGCGGGTGGGCGGCGCTAGTACCTGCTAAAATAAGACCGATATTTTTCTTTCTCAACTTTTTATGTTTTTGTGGTATATTCTGTCATGAACCTGACATTTTTTGAAAATTGTGATTATTTTTAGCGTTTGCCCATTCTTGAAGTTTTTGACAATTAAACATTTTACTTTTTTGACATTTTTGTTTTGTTGTTTAGACATTTTTGATATAGTTTTCTGACATTTTTTGAAAATTTGGATAATTACTTATTTCTGATGTTGCCTATTTTTGACATTTTTGACAATTAGACATTTGACTTCTTTGACATTTTTAGTTTGTTTTTTGACATCCTTGACATTATTGACGACTTTAGCATAATTTCACATTTTTGAAATTTTCGATATCAGCAAGGTTAACATTCTTGAAATAATTTTTGACTTTCTTCACAATTTTGACAGTTGGAAATTTTACTTTTTTGCAAATTTTCTGCAGCTGCAATATTCATATTCTTTGTCTTAGACGTTTTTTTAACAATTTAACAATCTTACTTTTTTGACATTTTTATTTTGTTTTTTAGACATTTTTGATATAATTTCCTGGCATTTTTTGAAAATTTTGATGTTTACTTATTTCTAGCTTTTACATATTCTTGGCATTTTTGACAATTAGACATTTGACTTCTTTGATATTTTTAGTGTGTTTTTTGACATCGTTGACATTATTGACTTTGGCATAATTTCACATTTTTTAAATTTTCGATATCAGCAAGGTTAACATTCTTGAAATAGTTTTTGATTTTCTTCACAATTTTGACAGTTGGAAATTTTACTTTTTTGAATATTCAAATTCTTTGTCTTGGTTTCAGACGTTGTTGACGTTTTTGACAATTAGATATTTTACTTTTTTGACATTTTTATTTTGATGTTTACTTATTTCTAGCGTTTGCCTATTCCTGACATTTTTGACAATTAGACATTTGACTTCTTTGACATTTTTAGTTTGTTTTTTGACATCCTTGACATTATTGACGACTTTCGCATATTTTCACATTTTTGAAATTTTCCATATCAGCAATGTTAACATTCTTGAAATAGTTTTTGACTTTCTTCACAATTTTGACAGTTTGAAATTTTATTTTTTTGAAAAATTCTGCATCTGCAATATTCATATTTTTTGTCTTGGTCTTAGACGTTGTTGACGTATTTGACAATTAGATATTTTACTTTTTTGACATTTTTGTTTTGTTGTTTAGACATTTTTGATATAATTTCCTGACATTTTTTGAAAATTTTTATATTTACTTATTTATAGCTTTTGCCTATTCTTGACATTTTTGACAATTAGACATTTGACTTCTTTGACATTTTTAGTTTGTTTTTTGACATCCGTGACATTATTGACGACTTTAGCATAATTTCACATTTTTGAAATTTTCGATATCAGCAAGGTTAACATTCTTAAAATATTTTTTGACTTTCTTCACAATTTTGACAGTTGGAAATTTTACTTTTTTGAAAACTTTCTGCATCTGCAATTTTCATATTTTTTGTCTTGATCTTAGACGTTGTTGACGTTTTGACAATTAGATATTCTACTGTTTTGACATTTTTATTTTGTTATTCAGACATTTTTGATATAATTTCCTGACATATTTTTTAATTTTGGTGTTTACTTATTTCTAGCTTTTGCCTATTCTTGACATTTTTGACAATTAGACATTTGACTTCTTTGACATTTTTAGTTTGTTTTTTGACATCCGTGACATTATTGACGACTGTGGCATATTTTCACATTTTTGAAATATTCAATCAGCAATGTCAACATTCTTGAAATAGTTTTTGACTTTCATCACAATTTTGACAGTTGGAAATTTTACTTTTTTGAAAACTTTCTGCATCTGCAATATTCATATTTTTTGTCTTGGTTTTCGACGTTGTTGACGTATTTGACAATTAGATATTTTACTTTTTTGACATTTTTGTTTTGTTGTTTATACATTTTTGATATAATTTCCTGACATATTTTTTAATTTTGGGTGAAATTTTTAATTTGTTTTTTTTTACATTCTTGGCATATTTTTCTTTTTTAACATTTGTATGTTTTTGTGGTATATTCTCCTGTCATCAACATGACATTTTTTAACGATCTTGATGTTTCCTTATTTTTCAATTTTGGTCGTTATTGATATTCTTGACGATTTGAGTATGTTTTGACATTTTTGAAACTTTCTGCATTTGCAATTTTGACATACCACAAAAACATATTAATGTTCAGAAAGCAAAATTTGTCAAAAATGCCGAAAAAACAAATTCAAAATGTTAAAAATGGAAAATGTTTGATAATCGAAAACATCAACAACTTCTAAAACTTCATGAGAAATATCAAAACATGCCGTAACCATCAAGATTGTTAAGAACGGGAAAATAAGTAAATATCAAAATTTTCAAAAATGTCAAGATCATGAGAATGGAATAACAAAATCTTGAAATCAAATGTCTTGTGGTGAAAAACATCAAAAAGTCAAGAATGGCCGAAAACCCAAAAACAAGTTAATATCAACATCTCCAAAAGCGTCAAGTTGATGACAACAAAATATATGACAAAAGCATGGCAATGTTAAGAAAGCAAATTTTCTCAACAGTGTCAAAAAGAACAAATTCAAAATGTTAAAAAGGGAAAATATCTCGAGTCAAAAACTTCAATAACTTCTAAAATTTTATAAGAAATATCAAAATATGTCAGAGACATTAACATTGTGAAGAACTATCAAAAGACAAAAATAAGTACATATGTGAATTTTGAAAAAAGTCAAACTTTAAGGATGGAAATATCTCACGAATGTCCACAAAAACCAAATTGAAAATGTCTAAAAATCAAATGTCTGATGGTAAAAAAACGTCAACAACGTGAAACTTCACAACAAATGTCAAAATATAATAAACACATCAGAAATCTCAAGAATAGGTGAATATTGAAAACAAGTAAATATTAAAATTTTTAAAAGTGTCAATTCATGACCACAGAATATGTGACAAAACATAGAAATGTTAAAAAAACAAAGTTTGTCAAAAATGTTTGAACAAATTCTAATGTTAAAAAAGGAAAACATCTTAATAGTTAAAAACGTCAAGAACTTTTAAAACTCTAAGAAATACCAAAGTATGCCAAAGACATGAAGATTGTCAAGAACGCACAAAAGACAAAAATAAGTACATAACAAAATTTTCAAAAATGTCAAGATCATGAAAACGAAATCGCTAAATTTCGAAAAGGTTAAGAATGTAAAATACGTCAACGGTGTCGAAAAGAACAAATTCAAAATGTTAAAAAGGGAAAATATCTCGAGTCAAAAACTTCAATAACTTCTAAAACTTTATAAGAAATATCAAAATATGTCCGAGGCATTAAAATTGTAAAGAACGATCAAAAACCAAAAATAAGGACGTTTATCAGAATTTTGAAAAAGGTCCAGGTCATGAAAACAGAACTACAAAATTCTGAAAACTTTAAGGATGGAAATATCTCACGAATGTCCAAAAAACCAAATTGAAAATGTCTAAAAATCAAATGTCTGATGGTAAAAAAACGTCAACAACGTAAAACTTCACAACAAATGTCAAAATATAATACAAACATCAAAAATCTCAACAATCGGCGAATATTGAAAAACCAGTAAATGTTAAAATTGTCAAAAGTGTCAATTCATGACCTCAGAATATATGACAAATCATAGAAATGTAAAAAAAAAACAAAATTTGCCAAAAATGTCGAAAACAACAAATTCTAATATTAAAAAGGGAAAAAATGTAATAGTTAAAAACATCAACAGCTTCTAAAATTCTATAACAAATACCAAAACACGCTAAAGACATGAAGATTGATAAGAACGCACAAAAGACAAAAATAAGTAAATAATAAAATTTTCAAAATGTCAAGATCATGAAAACGAAATCGCAAAATTTCGAAAAGGCTAAGAATATAAAATACGTCTACGGTGTCGAAAAGAACAAATTCAAAATGTTAAAAAAAGAAAATATCCAAGAGTCAAAAACTTCAACAACTTCTAAAACTTCATAATAAATATCAAAATATGTCAGAGGCATTAAGATTGTCAAGAACGATCAAAAGCCAAAAATAAGTACATATCCGAACTTTGAAAAAAGTCCAGGTCATTAAAACAGAACAACAAAATTCTGAAAACTTTAAGGATGGAAATATCTCACGAATGCCCAAAAAACCAAATTGAAAATGTCAAAAAAGTCAAATGTTTGATGGTGAAAATGGTGAAAAACGTCAACAACGTAAAAACTTTACAACAATTGTCAAAATATAATAAAAACATTAAAAATCTCAAGAATGGGCGAATATTCAAAAACCAGTAAATATCGAAATTTTCAAAAGTGTCATGTTCATGACCACAGAATATATGACAAAACATAGAAATGTTAAAAAAACAAAATTTGCCAAAAATGTCGAAAAGAACAAATTCTAATGTTAAAAAAGGAAAACATCTAATAGTTAAAAACGTCAACAACTTCTAAAACTCCATAAGAAATACCAAAACACGCCAAAGTCATGAAGATTGTCAAGAACGCACAAAAGACAAAAATAAGTAAACAACAAAATTTTCAAAAATGTCAAAATCATGAAAACGAAATCGCAAAATTTCGAAAAGGTTAAGAATGTAAAATACGTCAACGGTGTCGAAAAGAACAAATTCAAAATGTTAAAAAGGGAAAATATCCAAGAGTCAAAAACTTCAACAACTTCTAAAACTTTATACGAAATATCAAAATATGTCAGAGGCATTAAATTGTCAAGAACGATCAAAAGCCAAAAATAAGTACATATCAGAATTTTGAAAAAAGTCCAGGTCATGAAAACAGAACTACAAAATTCTGAAAACTTTAAGGATGTCCAAAAAATCAAATTGAAAATGTCCAAAAATCAAATGTATGATGGTAAAAAAACGTCAACAACGTAAACTTCACAACAAATGTCAAAATATAATAGAAACATCAAAAATCTCAAGAGTAGGTGAATATTCAAAAACCAGTAAATATTAAAATTTTCAAAAGTGTCAAGTTCATGACCACAGAATATATGACAAAACATAGAAATGTTAAAAAAACAAAATTTGCCAAAAATGTCGAAAAGAACAAATTCTAATGTTAAAAAAGGAAAACATCTAATAGTTAAAAACGTCACCAACTTCTAAAACTCTATAAGAAATACCAAAATATGCCAAAGACATGAAGATTGTTAAGAACGCACAAAATACAAAAATAAATAAATAACAAAATTTTCAAAAATGTCAAGATCATGAAAACTGAATAACAAAATCTTGAAAAGGTTGAGAATGTAAAATGCGTCAACAGTGTCAAAAAGACCAAATTCAAAATATCAAAAAAGCCTAATTAATATCTAATTGTGAAAAACGTCAACAACGTCAAAGTTTGAGGCTAAGAATAGATGAAAACAAGCAAATATCAAAATCATCAAAAATGTCAAGATCCTGACAACAAAATGACAAAAACTAAAACATGTATATTCCAACCCTATACCAACTTAAAAAGTGGCATGGAAAATATGGGTGATTTCCAATATTACTGAAATTAATTAATTTTTTTTTACTTCATAAGCATAAGCTAAGGAAGTATTGACCCTTTTCCTGTAAGATCGTAAAACTTCCATAGTGACTTTCCGTGCGCACGCATCTTCAAAGCCACGTTGGAAACAGTATCCAGCACTCCGGCAGCAGTGCAAACGCCTGTGACAACAAACCCCTTTGACAGAATGCAACCGGCTACACATGCGTAATCTGTCGCTCATTGGTTAATTTTAACTTGGCGCTCCAAAAATCTGACTTCGCCTGCGCGATGTTGTCTCACTCTGTATCATTGGAATTTATATAATGTCTACTCACTTTGCTTACAGGAAAAGGGTCAATTGCAATCAAGTCCATTGGGTGCCTGGCAACTTTTGTTTTTTCAGCGTTTCATGCCCCTAAAATACAAAACTATAGGTCTCTCGTTTCCATCTGTCTGTCCGCGTATGCGTAGATTTTTATTAGACACAACTTTCAAAACTACCGGACCGATTGTTGACAAATCGGACGCTTTTATTTATTACCCAATACTAAGCATTTCCTTAATTGCATTTTTTTTGTTACAAATTGCAGTCAGCTTCACTACCCAGGATGTTCAGGCTTTTCAGAGCCTTGGGTTTGCGACATCTCCCGATTGTGAATGACACCAATGAGGTCATTGGAATGGTGACCAGAAAAGATTTGGCTCGTTACAGGGTCTGGAGGCATCAAGGACGAATGGGCGTAGAAGAATTAGTAATATCCAAAGAAGTCTGACACGTTGCAGTATTATAAGTGGATATCAACAAACTTGACCAGGAGTGATTTTATTTATTCTATGTTATTAAAATATTTTCATAAGTCGGCATTTAATTTCAGCCGTCCTTGTGACCCCACCTTTGTTAATTTACACACAAAACTCATCCTCCCACAATTTCGTCATTCAGTCAAGGGCATCACAAACCAAACGTAAACAAATCGCCGAGATTGCAGTTTATTGTTAAAACGGTGATAAACTACAATAAAATAAAAACAATAAAATACGTAAATGTAAATAATACAATACTATTACTTTACTTGCTATGCATACTTTAATAATAAACTTTATTATTTATGGCATATAAACCTGGACGCTCTACGATTAGAGCTCGATCAGCACCAACATATAAAAATCACGTTTACAAATTTTTTTTATAAAAAATATAAATATCTTACAAGCACTGACTTCAGTATTCGTTATTAATATTGACTGTTGATAATCGGACAGCCTGCGTTCACATGCTGCATCACTTCCACCTTCAGCAACCCCACGTGCTCTTTCAACTGATTTACCACTGATGCAAGTTCCGCATTTTCACTCTTTAATTGTTTCACTTTATCTTCAAGCTTTGAGATCCTTTCTAATTTTCGTGACCGACACTTGGACGCGGCCAGCCGATTCCTTTGCCTCTTCCTTTCCAGTTTCATTCTTTCTTGGTATTCCATATCGACAGGTGACATTGGAGGTGTGTTATTGACATTGGGTACCGTCTGAGGCTCTTCTTTAATAACTGGGAGAAAACTTTGCTGTTCGTTGTATACCGTACTGGCATTACTGTCAGATCCTTGTTGTGAATTTCCGTTGTGTAAGTAGTTTAGCGCTTCAACAAACCCCCCGGCGAATTTCTCCTGTTCTGCGGTCACGTCCCGCGAAAACATCAACGACGGTGAAGGCGTGCTGGAAATGTTGTTGGACAGGATGATGTTTTCAATTGTGGGTGTGTCTACTTTGAGGAGGTCTGGAGTGTCAACTTTAAGGACTGAACTGATGTCTGGCGACGTTAAAAGTGACAATCCAGTGGCGTTCATGTTCAATTTGGACTGATTGAGGTCCAAGGTTAGGTTCTTTTTCATGTTGTTGATGGCTTTTTGGTTGTCATTGAAATTAGGACCGCTCATTGTGTCAATTGTTCTTGTACAACTCCCAGCCCAGCCAAGACCACAGATTAAAAAATAGGTAAACAGGAAGAACGACCAAAGCTAGTAGCGAGTAGTAAATCGAATCGGAAATTTCCATAAAATCTGAAACGAAAAAGTTAGGTTACCATTATGTCACTGCAAACAAAAGAATATAGGCACAACGCCAACTTAATCCGAAAAATTGGGCAGGTATTGAAATAGCCGCGATAGTGGTGATTAGCACGCTTAAGGCGTGTCGTAGCCTTAACATCTTTTGAAAATAACAATAATCTAATCATACTTACATTTATTTCCAATTAGTAGTCCACAACGTGCTCGTATTTTCTATGACTCACTGTGTTGATCTTGCACACTACACTGGTCGAAAACTTTCGTGAATGAAGATTTTAATGTCGCTGTGTGTTTTGTTCTCGGAAAATTGTCGAATACTAACAAATACGACGTAATAACTTTCGATGACTCACACCTTTCACGGATTTTCAGAAGCTCCATGACGTCATTTAGTAGCTGTGTCTCACTTCAAAGTACTGTCTGTTCTGTTTATTCGGGCAAATGTTGCGCCATGGAGTCATAGTTCGGAAATACCATCAAGTTTAATTGGTTGCATACCCTATTATTAAAATCGTACAATCGTATCGATTTGCCTCCTTTTTGAAATAGAGGATTTAAAACTAAATAAATACTATTCGTACAAAATAGATTTATTTCATAGACACTAGTTCGCGTACTAGTAAAGATATCAATAAATAACAAAAGTCAAATTTAAGTGAATCAGCACTTAGGCTGATGACTGAGCAAACGGAGATAAGCAAATCACCTTTGTTAAGCTTATTAAGGTTGTAAATTCTTCTGTTAGTTTCAGGTATATAAACGAAATTATCTTTTGTAAAACCAGTTTCTCTTCTGCCTGAAGACGGTACTGTATACCGAAACACGTGTAGCAGTGTGTCCAAATAAAATAATTAAACTTTTTAAAGTTTTTTACTGTACTAACCAAATTAACATGGAGTTTAAACAAGTAAATGCCTCACCAATACAAAAAAATGAGTTGTATTCGACGCCACTGTCCCCCTTAATGAGTGTAATTAGTGTAAAAACGGTTAGTAATTTTCCAATCTGAAATATGTACTGTGAAAATTTGGCAAATTCGTCAACAGCCATTATTTTTATTTTGTTTGTAAATTCACAATTTTAAGTTAAGATTTTTAACTGTTTAACACAGATTTTATAAAGAGAAAAGACCTAGAAATTTATTACCTGTTAAATTAATAAAATTCGCATAATCAAATTTTATAATTTTTCGAAACAGCTGGGTTTGTTTTATTGTATTTCAGAGGCGAGAAAAGTTCTGTCGAAATAACCTTCGACCAATTTGCTTCATTCAAATTACATTCCGAGAGGTAACTAGGTATGTAAAGATTGTCCAGAATTATATGAATTTTATGGACTCCCAAAGTTAATTTGTTTTACAGCCCTGTTGTGAGTTTTATTGTTTAGCTGAAGAGCGGGGCGAATTCAGGTACAGAAAAGATCGGCTTTCCCCTGACAGGCTCTTTACCTGTACAATAGAATTGACGCCTGAGCTGTGAAACAAATTAATGTTGGGAGTCCATAAAATTCTTACAATTCTGGACAAACTTTAACTACCTAAATTTCTAAGATTTTGGGTTGAAAAATTCCAAGATTACTAAGAAATACTCACAATAACGTACCTTCGTACCTACAATAAAATATTCTTGGAAATTTAATTTTACTTTTCTACCTACTTACAGAATATGCCCAACACGTACGAATTTTCATAGAAACAGGAATTTAAAAATAAGAGTAAGAATTATGGTCGGAATTATATATATGAACAAGCATTTTTTTGTTGTGTGTATTGCGAGTAAAGATCTCAACAGTCTCTGACAATGATTTTATTAATTTATTTTAAAACACACATTTGGCTTTTTTCATTTCTTATGACAGTAAATTAGGTTAAACCGCATATCAAAAAATCTCTTTCAAGGGACTTTATGCTAAAAAAAAGTAGGAGGTGCTATTTAAAAAATTATCGATGACGTCATACATCTGTCACATGTCGCTCAAAACTTTTGAAACTAATATTACAAAATGGCAATTTTTATATACCAGTAGACGTGTTTTTGCGTTTTTACTTCTCGAACGTAAGCTATACTTATCCAAAAGGTATAAGGTTATATGACCATCATAAAAGTAGTTGACCGCAAATAAATACCCCCTTTGTGTGGTTCGCACTAAGCTTACCGGTTGGCAATAAATCGTCTTCTAAACACTTCTTGCTCACATTTAACAGGGTCGGCTTTTAAAGCGAGTGTTTATTTCGGAACCCTCAGCGGCTGCAGGTAGTAAAGAAATAGTGGAGTGGTGGATTTTCATATTTAGTGAAAGCCGTCCCTGAACGAAACCACAACAGTCGGTCGAGCTGCAGTGGACACGTTATTTACGACCCTAAAACCTTTTCTATTGTAAACAACTTAATTTCGACACAATGGGATGATTTTATGATGACCATATAACCTTATAGCTGTTGGTCCACTATAAGAAATATTGTTTGTTTTCTTTCATAGTAGATAAATATTTTAGTTCCTTACTCTGCTCTACCTGCAAACCGGGATACACTTCCCCCGCTGACAATAGCAGTAATAAAACTAGTTATTGTAAACGAAGTGAACGATTTTAACCCTTATTAGAGATGAGTGGCAGCTGTCATAACGAGGTAGCATGGGTTGTTTACAAGTTGCATATCTTTTAAAATAGAAATTTTCTTGAGGTGTGGTGGAGCCTTAAACCGTCGTTGGCGTAAATTAAACTATGAAATATGTCGAAAAAGGACGCCTATTCTGCATAGTTACCGTTGAATTTAGGCAACTCAATGGCAGGAAGTTTAACGAATTGCGCATTATTTGAACTACCGTTGTAGGAACTGGAAAGATTAGTCGAATTATTTAAGTTTTTGTCCAATAATAATAATAATAATAATTTATTACGGGATATACCCAAAAAACTTCAACAACTTAATCAGTTATTCTACTAAACTAGTACTAAATCAACATTTAACATACAATTCTGAACCACTAATCTTATCACTAATTTAAATAAATTCAACAACTAAAAATTAACCTGTCGTAGCAATCTTCTGAAGTGTCGCGTTGATACCCCAAATAACTCAATCTCGTTCTTGTAGAAGTTTGCTTCACGTGCTAATCTTGAAATTGGAGAGAAAAATCCGTAGTTAGTATTGTGAAGTTTGCACCAAAATAAGGGACTACTTCTTAAAGGTCTTGGAGGACAACATATACTAAATAAAGAGAGAAGTTCAAGACAGTCAATCACACCATTAAATAACTTATGTAAAAAATTTAAATCCATTTTGGTTCTTCTGATTTCCAACGATTCTATTAAAGTTATCCGCCTGATATCTTCATAATTGTACTCTTCCCTACGAAAACTCATTCTCCATGCACAATGACGCAAGAATTTATTTTGGACTTTCTCAATTAATTATACGTTATATAGTGAGGCGACCATACTATACAAGCGTACTCAGGGAAGAACGGACTAAACTAATATACACCTTAACCACTGTATCCAGAGAAAATTCCTTCAATGAACGAATAATAAGTCCTAATGTTTTTATGGATTTGTTTAAAGTCAAATTTAAATGAGGGACAAAACTCAATTTGGAATCAAAAATAACTCCTAGATCACGAACCTCCGAGACTCTCTTAATCAACAAAGTGGCAGCACTATAGTTAAATTGTATCCATGCATGTGATCTAGAAAAGATTATAACATAAAATTTGTCAAAATTTATATCCATGTCATTGATGTTACACCAAGACAAAATATTATCCAGATCCATTTGTAGTTGAATATTATCATCGATGTCCGAAACTGTTTTAAATATTTTAATGTCATCTGCAAGAAGAAGATATTCAGAAGACTCAATTACTTTACAAATATCATTAATAAATAATGTAATAAGAAGAGGGCCACAATGGGAACCTTGTGGTACACCTGATGTGACTAAAATTGGAATTGAGACTGTACCGCCTATTTTAACGAATTGTGTTCTGTTTGAAATAAAACTGTTAATCCAGGAAAGGAACATATCGTCAAATTTCATAGCTTTCAATTTGTACAACAAGATTTTGTGGTTGACTTTGTCGAAGGGTTTCGAGAAATCAGCGTACACAGAATCAACTTGAGTTCCTTTCTTCAACGAGTTTATAATAAAGTTCTGATATAACAATAAATTAGTTGTAGTCGATCTTCCTTGACAGAAACCATGTTGAGAGGCTACTATTAACTGTTTACATGCTACTTTAAGCTGACTAGAAATTAATTTATCGAAAATTTTTGGTATTGTTGATTGTATACAGACTCCTCTATAATTATTGACATCATCTCTCTTCCCTGATTTAAAAATGGGCAATAAAAAAATTATCTATTGCATCATCGTATTTCGCAAGAGTTTCTACGATCTGTACCTGAATTTAACTTTTAGTTCCTCTAACATTAAATGTTTTGCAAGCGACGTTTTAAAATGCTTAAGGCTGTGCGGCACCGCGAGAAAATTTCATCTTCGGGAAATATGCAACTTGTAAAACAACTCATGCTACCACGTTATGACAGCTGCCACTCATCTCTAAGGGTTAAAATCGTTCGCTTCGTTGGCAATAGTTTTATTACTCCTATTGTCAGCTGGGCAAATGTATTTCTTGGCTTGCAGGTAGAGCAGAGGACGCCACTAAAATATTTCAGTCTGTTGGAAGTGCGCTGGATTTTTAATCCTCGACCGAATTGCGAATCACGTTTCAACTAACTTCACTTTCTTTACTTTTCGTCCTTTTTAATACACTGTCAGACAAAAAATCTCGGGACACTTGAATTTTTTGGTCGAACTTTTGTAAAAAATATTCCAATAAGCAAATCATTAATGTATTCATTAATAGAAGACATAACTTTATTCTAGAACACGTGGAAACAGAAAAAAAGTAAAAAAAAAGTCATAACACTAAACATCAGCCTAAATTTACAAATATTCAAGTGTCCCTGCCCATTCACAATGGACATAAGACATAAAAACGAGCGCATAACATAATTTACGTTTTTGGTTTGTGTCTGGCTTATGCTTATCTACGTTCACAGTGGACAGAGTGAACTTTGTAAGAATTGTTAAACTGCGCAAACGCAGAACGGAATAACTCCCGGCTAAACATAGAAACGGCTAACCTCAAACTGAGTCAATCAAAATATCTAACCTACAATTTCATACGATATTCGAACTTGACAACTCGCAGTACAGAACACACTCGCAGTGAGAAGCTTTGATTATAATTTATATAATATTATCAAAGGTGTGAAGTGCCAACTGTCAAAGGGAATTCAATAGCAGCATTCAAAAGTCCCTAGATTTTAACATAATTTTGACATAATTCGTGCACAAAGTTGAACTTATTTCAAATTT